AGAGAATCCTAGAAGCAGCAAGAGCTAAGGGGACAGTTACCTACAAAGGAGTCCCCATCAGACTGTCAGCTGATTTCTCAAAAGAGACCTTACAGGCAAGAAGGGGCTGGAAAGAGGTATTCCAAGTCATGAAAACCAAAGACCTACAACCAAGATTACTCTATCCAGCAAAACTTTCATTTAGAATGGAAGGGCAGATAAAGTGCTTCTCAGATAAGGTCAAGTTCAAGGAGTTCATCATCACCAAGCCCTTATTATATAAAATGTTAAAGGGACTTATCTAAGAAAAAGAAGATAAAAAATATGAACAGTGAAAGGACAGCAAACTCACAGTTATTAACAACCACACCTAAAAGAAAAGCAAACTAAAAGGACAGCTAGATCAGGAGCAGAAACATAGAAATGAAGATTTCATGGAGGGTTAGCAATAGGGGAGTGGGAAGAGGAGAAGGTACAGAAAATAAGTAGCATAGACAGTAGGTAGAAAAATAGATAGGGGGGTAGTATGGGTAAGATTAGCTTGGTGGGCTGGGGGGTCGTGGGGGGGGGGTGCAGGGTGGAGGGGAATGAAGGGGGGAATAGAACAACTATAATGGCATAATCAATAAAATTTTTTAAAAAAGGAAAAAACCCTCAGTGAAGAACATGCAAATATGCATGGTACTCAACATAATAAACAAATACAGTCACACAATATGGTGATCACAGTCAGAAATCATAAAAATATAAAAGTGAAAATCTGGAGTTGAGAAATATGATGAATAAAATAAAAACTGCAGAGAGTTCCAAAGTAGGCATGCTCAAGATGTGAAAGGGATACATCATCTCAGCGGCAGCTTATATGAAATTTGACTCCAGTTCTTGTTTTTAAGATTTATTTTATTTTATTTTTAAAGATGGAAAGGGAAAAAGAGAGGGAGAGAAACATCAACAGGTGGTTGCCTCTTGTACGCTGCCTACTGGGGACCTGCCCTGCAAACCAGGTATCTGCCTTAGACTGGGCATCGAACTGGTTCCACTTTCATTCACAGGGCAGCACTCAATCCAGTGAGCCACACCAGCCAAGGCTGACTACACTTCAAAGAAAACAGAAATAATAAATATATACAAAATATTTTATTTGGCTTGGCTAGGTGGATTAGATGGCTGGGTAGTTTTCCAGAGCAGCACCAAAAGCTTGCCAGCTCTATCCCTCCATGGGGACACAAAGGAGGCAACTGATTGATGCTTGTCTCTCACACTGATGTTTTTCTCTCTCTATCTTCCTCTCTCAGTCTCTCTATGCCTTCCTTTCTAACAGTCAATAAGGACATCTCAGATGAAAATTAAAAATAAAGAATTATATGAAGATGCTATCAACAGGATTATAAAAACTAATGTTGTATATGAATCCATGTCAAATCCATTAGGTTTCTCGTAACACTATTGACGTAAAATCCTTCTGCCTATGAGGACTGAGAACAGCAGGTATTGGAGCAGCTGGGATAGAAGAAGGCACTGCCAACACACCACCCTGCCAACCCCAAGACCTACCCAGAAACCTGGGAAAGCAAACTATGTACCTATACTCCACACGTTAGGACAGAGCAACCCCTAAGCAATGAAGGGTGCAGGACATACAAAGCCTAGACCAAGTTCATGGTGACTGTAAAAGTAATTATTTTTTAAAGAGAAAGTTAACTTATTAATGTTTCTGGCAATGAGGGACAAAAACGGAACCCTGGAGACAGAATCAAAGGTGAACCCAAGGCAAACTGCTGCTGTCCATGGCTTGCTGGGTGCCAGTCTGGTCAGGACCCTTAGAGGTTATAACAGAACCAAACTCAACCCTGAAGAAAGGTGGGTGCAGGCATGCCCCAGTTGAGCGCAAAGGGACAGTCAGTGTCTTACCCAGCGAGGATACATGAGCAAAGTTCTCCAGCATCACATCCAGGTACAGGCGTCTCTGAGCCTCATCAAGGAGGCGCCATTCTGTCCTGGACAGATACACAGCCACATCCTCAAAGGTCACAACAACCTGTCAGAATTAATAGAAATGAATCCAGAATAGTCTGTCTGAGACCAGCCCTGTCAATGCTATTCTAGACTAATCTTACCCACTCCTAAAACCACCCAGGATACCCCCTTCAGAGAGGAAAACAGCCCTGCTGCCTGCTGTCTCATCAGTCTCATTAATCACTCACACTGCCCTCAGCAACCACAGAAAAGATTGGTGGTACAGCAGGTAAGTAGGCATGTGTTCTCAGGCCAAACTTTCATGACTCCATCCTTCCTGTCCAGCAATTCTAGGGAGTCTCACAGATCACGCGTCTACAGCAGGGGCAAACTTGGGCTTATGTTTCACCCTTCAATCCCCACACCATGGACCCAAGCCCATGAGTTCACATTTCCTCCAGCTGGGCACAGTATGATGTCTTCTTCCTTCACTTCATACCCCAGGTTCAATTCCTCAGCTCTGCCACGTCCTGCTCCACACCACAGGCATCCATCCCTCTGGAAGTACCAGTGAACTTAGCATATGGCTTCCAGACAGTGCTCAGGTATTTCAGAATGACCTAGTTCAACCGAGGCAGGGCAGAAAGAATTTAGAGAAAAATCCTGACAGGTGGAAGGAAGATGTAGGAGGCCACAACACTTAACCACAGCCCTCCCTTGGGGCCCCAACAAGGAAAACAGTGAATGGCAGAAAGCCCCTTGGGCAACCACAGGACTACTCAACACAAGGAACCCTCCCAACCAGGAGTCCCACTCACAACTTATGCCAAGGAGCTTGAAGATGTAGCCCCCACCCTGCAAAACGAGTAAAAATCCCAACAACTATTTCGCTCCTGTCTCTTCACATGGCCTGACGTGTTCAGAAGCACACGTTTGGCTTCCTGAACTGAATCGCCCGCACTGGCGTTTTTCTTTTTTCTGCCTGCATAAAACTTGCTTTAGTCTCAACCTGATTTATTACACGAATTGCCCCTAGCCCACAGGGTGTTAGAGGTTCAATAAGAACACTGCCCTGACCTCTCATCCGGTCACCCTCCAGTCACACCATGTGTCACCCACGACCGTCTCACTGAACCAGTCACTGGGTCCTGGGCTCCAGCAAGTGAGGGACTCACCAAGCCCACCCTGCAGGGATCCCTGAGGTGATGGGAGAGCCCGGGGCCTCGCACTCACCTCCACCCTGTGCCTGCCGCCACCTAACTCTGTGGGCGGAGCCGGGTCAGACCAAAGACCAAATAGGTTGTCCCTGGTATGGGGTCGGCTACCTCAAGTGCCAGTCATCTGAGCAGCTTTGCTGGGTCTCACAGCTACTGTGGGGAATACAACTCTGGCGCCTGCTCTACTTGTTATTCAAAATTCACGTGCTTAACATCTAATAAGGAAGCTGAGAGAACAGGAAATGCCAGCCAATGGAAGGCACAAGTCCTGCCCTACAGTAGTACCCGACCGGAAATGCTTTGCAATGGGTTTATTGGCTCGTGGTCCTGCTATTCCACGCCTGCCTTGTAGGTAATGGAGATCTTACACTCCAGGGTGGCATCCTGTAATACGCCAGCGATTTTCAGGAGTGGATTTGCAAATTTACACACCAAGATGACCCTGAGAATAGGAAGTGCGCCGCATTGCCTTGCAGTGAAAATCATTTCTCAGGCGAGGGCCTGTGGTATGCCTGCAACTCCATTTTTGATTCGCGGCATGACACGTGGCTCCTTCAGGCTGGATGTGGTTGGGGAAGGTTGTTCAGGTCCCTAACGCTATTTACCCAGACGCATTGGACTGGCTTTGCTAAGTTAATGTATTAAAACATGCACTAATACTTAAGTGCATCTTTTCCTGCATGCAGCGAGTCTTCCTGTTGCCTGTGCAGTAGTGTGATTGCAGTCCACACTAATTTGATTTGATCCCTCTGATTTAAATTATAACTTTTTCCCTAACAATGGAGTACATGTTGAAGACCTCAAAGACATGCAGTTACTGGCATTCAACCCACAAATTGCATGTAAAGTATCAGACCCACCCAGAATATAGTAATTCAGCTAATCTTGCTGATTCATTTTTTCGTCAGGGCATGTTCTAGGGCATGAAATGTTCAGTAGCACTACATCGAAAATGAAAATGTACATACCATAATTTAAAAATTACTTAAGATTCACAAAATGCAAACGATTATCTGAGACTTTGTTGAATTGCATACAACCTTTTTGCCATCTCAGGGATTTATATACCTGTTGATGTGAACACATTATCTCTGAATCTCAGTAAAGCACATCTCATTAAAGGGGTGGGGATATGACCCATGGGAAGAATCTGAAATTTTACCAGATTAAAAACCTGGTTACTGTACTGAAGATATAACATAGAATGAGTCACAAGAATATAAGGCCAACCTTAGAAAGTAAAATGAGATGCAAGATATAGAAATAAATGGGAGTCCATTATTTGTAATTTAATTATCAATAAAGAAAAATTAATTGTAAAAAAAACTGGCAGAAATAAATTGTGGGAAAGTTATTGCCATTTTCCTTAGCGTAAAAATGGTTTTCTACTTATGGTAATGAAAGAGAACTTACGTGTTCCACAGTTAAGGGTGTATAGGTGAGATGAGGATAACTACAGCACTGTCAAAAGAATAAGATTACGAACAATTCATGAATAATATTTCATGAGACACCAAGACACACTTATAAAACCTGTCAAGAAAAGGTTCTAAAATACAACTAGCTATTCAGGCAAGTAAAGTAACTTAAATCTAAAGGATGGGGATGATGTTACAATTCAATGACAATTGTTGGAACTGAGTCTAAAAATGAACTGACTCACCTCTGCTTACTGGACCGACACTTTTTCTCATATAGGCTGATTACTAAAATTGGTACTTGTATCTCTTCAATAACTGTGGAAGTGTCTGACTTACAAATAAGTGATAGAATGCAATGCAAAGGCAGACACATGAAAATATAATGCCCAAAACACACAGGTCACATAAAGGGCTGCTCACTGCTGCTTGCTCACTCTGTTGAAAATGGAACATCAGTAACACTTAGAAGGGCTTGGAGATTGAGCACTAATCCTAGACATTCTATTGACAGCAGTTATTAGGCAACAAGGGGCAAGGGGTCCATTTTCAGAGGGTCCACCCAGGCCACCTGGTGCTTTTAAGAGGATGGTATCACTTAGGAAAATGTTGTGGAAGCAGACAGCAAATATCACCAAGAATGATCAGTACTCATCCTCTTCTCTGAAGAAGCCCCTGAGACATAACAATGCTAATTGGCTCATGGAGACACAGACCAAACCTCATTTGGCCAATTGGCTGCTGTCTGGAACAATCAGGAGTAAGATTCTCAGTTGTGGCCAAAGTGTCTTGGGCAGTAGAAGGAGGGCTTGTGTTCCAAAGGACTATGGTTACTACCCAGAGGTCTCTGGTGCTGACACAGGGAGACTGGAAAGGAAGATGTGGCTGCTGAACATGGTCATGGCCACAGGGAATACATGGTGAACAACACGGTCTCCTGTAGCCATCCCGACAGAGTACAGGGTCATGTGGGCACTGAGTTTCCTCTATGAAGAAGAGGTGAACATTCCAGCAGGTGGGTAATGATACTATAGGTCTCCACTGTCAGTTCTAAATATGTTCCAGGTATCACGTCCCACTGTCCTCACTAATGCAGAGTGAATATCTGTGACATGTAGGAAAAACACTGGAAAGTCAAACTGATGCACCATATTTATTAGTGAATAAATCTGAGCCTGCGATACAAATGAAAACTGAAGTTGCACAAAGGCCTGGCCCTAAATCACAGGGGTCTCCTTCATGTCCACCTGTATGCTAAGCTTAAAAAGGTGGTAGACAAAATACAGTTAAATCTCAATGCAGTTTCCCCTGGGGAAACCATGGAAATGACAGGTACTCTTCCCATGAAGCCTGTGAGCCAGATGTTAAAGCACTTTAACATATCAGAACGAAGTTGAAATTCATGATACAACGAAAACAGTATTAGTTGTTTTCCATTTCACTGGTCTTGCTGTGTCTCTGCCCTGCACTGATGCCCTAATATGCCACAATGAAAAACATCCCCATCTTTCCCAACACACTTTTAAAAAAGATTTTTAAATGCATTTATTTATATTGAATTTTTAAAAAGATTTTATTTACTTTTAGAAAGGAGAAGGGAAGGAGAAAGAGGGAGAGAAATATCAGCGAGGTTGTATCCCACATGGTCCCCTACTGGTGATCTGGCCCACCACCCGGGCATGTGTCCTGACTGGGATGTAACTGGCAATGCTTTGGTACACAGCTCACACTCAATCCACTGAGGTACGCCAGCCAGGGCTAACTGATTTATTTTTACACAGAGGGAATGAGACAAACTAAGAGAGAGAAACATCAATGTAAGCTTTCTCGTCCCAGGGCCCCTTCTGGGAAACTGGCAGTAAACTCAGTCATGTTTTCTCACTGCGAATCGAATCAGCAACCTTTTGGTTTGCAGGAGTGCTCTAAAAAAAACTCAGACACAGTGACTAGGGCACAAGGCTTTTTACTGTATTATTAAATATAGGAACTTACAAAAATGATGAAGTGTGTTAATTAATGAAGATTATTCTTTAAAGTGCATGATATGTATCATTGTACTTTGTACAGTAAACTCCCAAACAATTTGGAAATATTTCACAGTGTTGAAATAGTTATCACATAGCTCAAAAAAAGAAACAATTGCTCCATAACATAAAAATGACTTGTTATTCAAAAAGTGAAAGTGGGTGTCATTTGATTATCCACCTTTGCTGCTTTACACTATTTCTTAAAGGAGAGTAGCCCAAATTAATAAAGGAACAGGTAAATTATGTGCCCACAGATTTGACTGAAAACATATCAGTAGTACATACAAAAATGCTCATACTAAATCCTCAAAGAAACGGAACTAAAATGACAGAGAGATCACACACGATTAACATTTAGAAAGTGGTTAAATTCAGAAAAATTGAAGAAAGAAGACTTTGTTACAGTTAGGAACTGCACTTTGTAAACACTTTTGGTGAGAATGCATAAAAGAAAAATTAGTCAATGTCGTACTTTGTATGGCTTTTCAAAATTTTAACATTCTACTTCTGAGATATATCCAGAGTAGGAACATATGAAATTAAACTCCGTTTCTCCAGAAAGTTTCAGCGCCATTACATTGAAAAAGAAAACCCATTTTGAAGGCCCTGGTTGGTGAGGCTCAGTGGCTTCGGTTGGGGCCTGCAAACCAAAGTGTTGGTGGTTGGATTCCCAGTCAGTGCACATCCCTGGGTTGCCAGGGTGGGGACTGCAGGAGGGGGCATTCAATAGGAAATCACACACTGATGTTACTCTCCCTCACTTTCTCTTTCCCGACCCCCTCTTTAAAAATTATTAAAATTTCACCCTGGCTGGCGTAGCTCAGTGGATTGAGCACGGGCCTGCTAACCAAAAAATCGCAGTTCGATTCCCCATCAGGTCACACGCCTGGGTTGCAGGCCAGTTCCCAGCAGGGGATTCACCAGAAGCAACCATACATTGATTTAAAAAAATTAATAAAATTAAAAAAAATAAATTACGTTTTGCATAATCTAACCATTTATACAATGTAAAAATGGTATCAACTTATGGCTATAGATTTCCCATGTTCACCTTATACATTCAGACTCTAAAGCGTGAACAGTGAAAATGGTGGCCATGAGCACGAGGGAAAAATCTCCAACATTTGAAGTCTTCATAAAGCTTAGGTCCTGTGTAAACTGGTGATAGAAAGGGCAGAGGAGGGAACACGAATCTCCCACTCTGACTGCACTCCTAAGGCCTTTACGTAGACTGAAGTCTCTCTATATAATATAGGTTAGTGCCACAAGGAGAATGATTTCAAATGGCATGTATATAAAAAAAAAACTATCAATGTGACCTCAGAGAAGAAAAAAACATGTCTAGAACTAAAAGATTTCCCAAATAATCCTGTAAGAACTGAGTGATTGTGAATTTTCTGATGAGATCAGAGGCCATGACTGCTGGTAAGATATTACACAAAATCTCAGCAACCAAAAGGCATCACTGGAGTGTAAACTCTGTCATAACAACTGAAATTATGGACATAAAAAAAAAAAATTAACCAGTCCTGGCTGGGGTAGCTCAGTGGATTGAGTGCAGTCCTGTATTCTCAGTCAGGGCACATGCCTTAAAAAAAAAAAAAAAAACTTAAAAATTTAACCAAATTCACTTCATTTATAAGGACATTTCCCAGTGACAACTCTGATGACAATGTAGGTGACTGATTATAATAAAGGATTTCCCACATTCACTGCACTCAAAAGGCCTTTATCCAGTGTAAACAGCTCAATAATGACAAAAGGTGGAGCTACTAATGAAAGTATTTGCACATAAATTTACCGTCAAAAGGTTATTCTCCAAGGTGAACTCTCTGATGACAACACAGGGTAAAGCTCCTGGCAAAGGATTCCCCACATTTCTTGCACTCTTAAGGCCTTTCTCCAGTGTGAACTCTGTGATGTTTATAGAGGTCAGACCTAGTAGTACAACACTTCCCACATTCACTGCACTCATAAGGCCTTTCTCCAGTATGAACTCTCTGATGCTCCAAAACATAGGACCTGCTACGAAAAAATTTCCCACATTCACCACACTCATAAGGCCTTTCTCCAGTGTGAACTCTGTGATGTTTATAGAGGTCAGATCTAGTGGTACAACACTTCCCACATTCACTGCACTCATAAGGCCTCTCTCCAGTGTGAACTCTCTGATGTCGTCTGAGTTCAGAAGTGGTGATATAAGCTTTCCCACATTCGCTGCAAACATGAGGCCTTTCTCCAGAGTGAATTCTCTGATGATTCAGAAAACCAGAGCTCCACCTAAATGATTTTCCACAATCACTGCACGTATAAGGCTTTTCTCCAGTGTGAACTCTCTGATGAGTAAGAAGATCATATCTATGGATGAAACATCTCCCACACTCATTGCACTGATAAGGCCTTACTCCACTGTGAACTCTCTGATGGTGGTAAAGGGCAGAACCAGTGGTATAAGATTTCCCACATTCGCTGCACATATAAGGCTTTTCTCCAGTGTGAACTCTCTGATGAATACGGAGGGCAGAAATTCTGGTAAACGACTTCTCACATTCAAAACACACAAAACACAGTCTCCCAGTAAGGAACCTCTGATCATCAGAAAGTATATCCTTACAAGCCATGGCTTTCTTATTTTCTGTTTGAACAGACTGATATTTTGCACTGTGCAAAATTATTCCAAACTGAGAGACTTTGTTTGCCCTGTGCATGGTGTCAGTATCCTGTTGCTCAAGATGTCCTGAGGTCATGGTGAAGTCTTTTCCAACCTGCCTGGATGTACAAGGCTTCCATGACATAGGGGAATTGCAGCTCTTTCCAAATGAGACACTGCCCACACTGCTTAGGAGGTAATTCTGTGTTGTGTCCTGTTCCTGATGCTGGTTGCTCCATGCATTGAAATAAAATGGTTTTGCACACGCCCCACACCTCAGCAGTGTTGTGCTGTGTTGAGTTCCCTGCTGATAAACCAAGAGGAAAATGTCTCTTAAGACCGGCTCACATCTCTCACAGGGGTGGCCCTTCTGGGTAGACAAGGCTGCCTTAGGATACTTTTCTTGTGATGCTTGTTCAGAGAGTTCCTGTTCAGTGGGTGCCTCCACATCCTCTGCTTCACAGCAGCAACCTGAACAAAAGCAAACACGACTGAAGTACATACTGAAGTAGGGAGGGGGTGTTCTCATCACAAATTTCCGTCTGTCATATGTAAGGATGATTCCCTGTGACAACTTTCCAGGCAAGTGGGACAGACTTTGAGAGAGTAGTAGTGTATTATTATGCATTAAGAGAGAAAATAATGGTCCCTTCCTTAAAGGCAATACATTATGGTAAGAAGAGGAACAAGGAGAGACAGAGTTTAAAAGTTGTTCTTCTGCTGATGGCAGCCTGCAAAGTCTTTCCAGCTAGTGATGGCAGGTCGTGTAGAGGAATGTGAATATGCAGAAAACCACGATAATCAATCCCAGCAGAGCAGACACTGAACAAGGTTCCTATTAAAAATTTGCAGATTCATTGCCCAGTGATCATTGACCGAACTTGAAGAGCACACCAAAGAGAGCATTAGACTGCACTCTTCACACACAGGGTAGCCAGTGCTCTATAGGTGCCCTAAATACAGATGTGCCCTAGATGTCACAGAGGTGAAGATGAGCCCTGGCTACAAATAACAGTAGAAAAGATAACTATGAGAACTAACAAAGAGGCAAAGTGCCAACACTTGGAAAGGACACAAAGATTAAGGTGCGGACACTGGTAATGGTGAGAAAATGTAGTTAAACATAAAAGGTTTCTCATTACGTTTTAACAGAGCCATGGCACCAAACCCTCCCCAAGTGACTTTCACTATCACCAGAGCCTCCCTGAGCCCATCCCGTCAAGGCTGGACTCATGTTCCTGTTGTGCCACACAAAGGACCCTTTTCATTCCCTACCAGTTGAGCAGGGTGCAGGGGAATGAAGGGAGGGAAATGAGACAGCTGTAACACTGTCAAATAGATTGGACAATATAATCAAAAATATATTTTAAAAAATTAAAAAATAGAAATAAAAATTAAAAAAATAGAACTTCCGCCAGGATGGAGGCATAGGTAGAAACATCCTTCGTCCACACACAACCAAATCTAAAACAACAAAGTTTTAACAACAATAAATGCAACCAAACCACACAGAAAATCGACAATACTGAGTCTGAAAAACAACGAAATGCTCAGCTAAACTGGTAAGAGGGGCGAAGCCAGCAGCGGAGTGGGTTAGTCAAAAAGATCCCCGACTGGGGGTGGTGCGCAAGCAGCCGAAGGCGCAGATCCCAGGTGCGGGCCAGCTACAGGCGGACCCAGGGAAGAGGTGTGCCTGGCTGTGTGCGGTGGTCGAGCATTTGTGTGCAGGTAAACCAGTGAAGAGGAGAGCATTAGACTGCACGGCGCAGGGCGGAGGGCTTGCACATTTCCGCTCAGATAAACAGGTGGGGGCCAGTGGTGAAATGGACTGAGCAAGTGGAGAGGACCGCCATTGCTCCCTCTTTGGCCCCGCCCCCACATACAGCATCACAAACCAGGGACCTGGGTGGCCCCGCCCTGGTAAACAACTAAGGCTCCACTCCTCATACGTAACAGGTACAAACAGATAAAAACATGGCTCAACAAAACTCAGAGCCCCAGAACCAATAAATCTATCGATGAAGAAATAGCAAACATTCAGATGCACAGTTCAAAACACTGGTGATCAGGATCCTCACAGAATTGGTTGATTTTAGTCACAAATTAGAGGAACATATGAAGGCAAAACTAATTGAAATGAATGGTAATGCACAGGAAACCAATAGTAACAGAAAGGAGACTGGGACTCAAATCAAGGAAGTAAACCAGAAGGAAGGAAAAAATGACTAAACAGAAAAGAATGAAGAAACAAGAATTCAAAAAAATAAGGAGATGCTTAGGAACCTCCAGGACATCTTTAAACGTTCCAATATTCGAATTATAGGGGTACCAGAAGGGGAAGAGGAACAGTCACAAGTGGAAACCTTATTTGAACAAATAATAAAAGAGAACTTCCCTGTTCTGGCAAAGGAAATAGACTTCCAGGAAATCCAGGAAGCTCAGAGTCCCAAAGAAGTTGGACCCAAGAAGAAACACACCAAGGCACATCATCATTACATTAGCCAAGATTAAAATGAAGGAGAGAACCCTAAGAGCAGCAAGAGCTAAGGGGACAGTCACCTACAAAGGAGTTCCCATCAGACTGTCAGGTGATTTCTCAGAAGAGACCTTATAGGCAAGAAGGGGCTGGGAAAGAGGTATTCCAAGTCATGAAATCCAAAGACCTACAACCAAGATTGCTCTACCCAGCAAAGTGTTCATTTAGAATGGAAGGGCAGATAAAGTGCTTCTCAGATAAGATCAAGTTCAAGGAGTTCATCATCACCAAGTCCTTATTATATGAAATGTTAAAGGGACTTATCTAAGAAAAAGATAAAAAATATGAACAGTGAAAGGACAGCAAACTCACAGTTATCAACAACCACACCTAAAACAAAAGCAAATTAAGAGGACAGCTAGATCAGGAGTGAACCATAGAAATGAAGATCACGTGGAGGATTAGCAACAGGGGAGTGGGAGAAGGAGAAGGGGGGAGAAGGTTCAGAAAATAAGTAGCGTAGATGGTAGGTAGAAAATAGATAGGGGGAGGGTAAGAATAGTATGGGAAATATAGAATCTAAAGAACTTGAGACAAGTGTTCATGAACTAAAGAAGGGGAATGGTGTGGGAGGGGTGTGCAGGGTGAAGGGGAACGGAGGGGGGGGAATAGAACAAATGTAATGGCATAATCAATAAAAAAATCTTAAAAATAAATAAATAAAATCCTCAGTGAGGAACAAGCAAATGTACATGGAAGTCAACATAAAGAACAAACAAGTGTAGTCACAGTATATGGGGACCAGAGTCAGAAACCATAAAAATTAGAAGAGAAATTCAGGAACTGAGAAGAATATGTTGAATAAAGTGAAAACTGAGAAAAGAGTTTCAAAGCAGGCAAGACCAAGACCTAAATTGGATACATCATCTCAGGGGAAGATTATATAAAGTTTGAATACACTTTTAAAAAAAGTTTTACTTATTTTATTTTTACAGACAGAAAGGGAGGAGAGGGAGAGAAACATCAGTGTGTGGTTGCCTTTCCTGTGCCACCTACTGAAGCCCTGACCTGCAATCCAGGCATGTGGCCCAGAGTAGAACTCAAACTGATCACCCTTTGACTCACTGTCCTGCACTCAACAGAACTAATAAATATACACAAAATATTTTACTCAGATGGGCCAGGTGGATTAGTTGGTTGGATGGTTTTCCAGAGCAGCACCAAAACCTTGAAAGTTCGATCCTTACATGAGGACACAAAGGAGGCAACAGATTGATGCTTTTCTTTCAACTGCTGCGTGTGTCTCTTTCTCTATGTCCCTGTCTCTTTCTATATGACTTCCTCTCTAATAGTTACTAAACAAATTCTCAGATGAAGATTAAAAGTAAATATATATATGAAGATACTATCAACAGGAGTGTAAAAAACAACTTTCCACACTACTCAATGTGAAATCAGTTAGATTTCTGGCAACAACACTGACCTCAAATCCTTCCCCCCTATGGAGTTTCAGAATAGCAGGTATTGGGGCCCCTGGGAGAAAAGGGGGCCGTGCCAACACACCCCCCCTGCCAACCCCAAGATCTACCCAGAAACCTGGGAAAGCAAACTGTGCACCTACAGTCAACATGGGAGGACACAGCAACTCCTCAAGAATGAGGGGCATGGGACAGAGAAAGCCTAGTGCATGTGCATGGTGAGTGTAAACATCATTATCTTTTTGAAGAGAGAGTTCACTTATTAACATTTGTGGCAATGAGGGGTCAAAAAAGGACCACTGGAGACAGAATCTGGTCTGTCTGGTCAGGACAGACCTGCCAGTCTGGTCAGGACCCTTAGAGGTTATAACGGAACCAAACTCAACCCTGAAGAAAGGTGGGTGCAGGCAGGCCAAAGTTGAGCACAAAGGGGCAGTCAGTGTCTTACCCAGCGAGGATACATGAGCAAAGTTCTCCAGCATCACATCCAGGTACAGGCGTCTCTGAGCCTCATTAAGGAGGCGCCATTCTGTCCTGGACAGATACACAGCCACATCCTCAAAGGTCACAACAACCTGTCAGAATTAATACAAATGAAACCACAATCATCTGTCTGACACCAGCCTTGCCCAATGCTATTCCAACCTTTCCCACTCTGAAAACCATCCAGGATGCCCAGCCTACAGAGGAAAACAGCCCCGCTGCCTGCTGTCTCATCAGACTCATTAACCACTCACATTGCCCTCAGCAACAACAGCAGTGATTGGTCCTGCAGCAGATAAGCAGACATCTAGTCTCAAGCCAAACCTTCTGGGCTCCATCCCTCCTGGCCAACAATTCTACTCAGTCTCCCAGATCACGTCCCTACAGCAGAGCCAAACTTGGGCTTATGTTTCACCCATCAGTCCCCACACTAAGCACAGGAGATCATGAGTTCACACTTTCTCTAGCTGGGTACAGTGTGATGTCTTCCTCCTTCACAGCTTCACACCCCACTTTCAGTTCCTCAGCTTTGCCACCTCCTGCTGAGCACAACAGGCATCACTCTGAGAGCATCCAGTACTTAACATATGGCTTCCAACAGTGCTCAGGTATTTCAGAATGACCTAGTACAACTGAGGCAGGGCAGAAAGAATTTAGAGAAATATCCTGACAGGTGGAAGGAATATGTAGGAGGCCGCAACATCTCACATGAGCTACTCCCTCTGGGCACCAACAAAGAAAAACAGTTAATGGCAGAAAGCCTCTCGGGCAACCCCAGGACTTCAAACTACAAGGAACCTTTCCAAAAGGAGTCACATTCAGAATTTGTCGCCAAAAAGCCTGGACGAATTGCCCCCCTGCCTTGAAAAGAGTAAACCCCAAGTACTATTTTGCTCCCGTCTCTCCGGATGGCCCGCCTCCACTCAGGCACACCTTTGGGTTCCTGCACTGTGTCGCCCACAATGGACTCTTTCTTTTTGCTACATGAATGAAACTTGCTTTAGTCTTACCCTGATTTGTTATTCGAATCCACCCTAGCCCAGTCAAGGTCACGAAGGTTATCTAACATGCCAAACTTTTCTGAACGTAACAGGGCAAGAGCAGCCCCCGGGGTGTTAGAGGTTCAGAAAGAAAACTACTGTCGGCCCATTCAGCCCGTCACCCTCTCCCTGCTGCGGTCACACCATATCTCACCCACAACCATCTCAGCAGATTGGTTGGGATGCAGGACGTGAAGCACTCACAGAGACCGTCCTGCCGTGCTAGGTGCGGTGATGGGGAGGGACCGGGGTCGCGTACTCACCTCCTCCACTCCACGCCTCAGCCCGCCCTCCGCCATTGAGACTCTGTGGGCAGGGAAGGGCCAGAGCTGCGAGCAAAAGGTTTCCCCTGATAAGGGAGTCCCTGGGCTGCCTCAAGGGCCGGTCACCCGAGCAGCTTTGCTGGGTGTCACAGCTACTGTGAGGACTGCAACTTCGTCGCCTACTCTACTCGATATTCGATATTCGCGCCTCACATGCTTAACATCTAATAAGGAAGCTTAGAGAACAGGAAATGCCCGCCAATGAAAGGCACAAGTCCCGCCCCACAGTCCCGACCGGAAATGATTTGAAATGTTTTTATTGGCTCCTGGTCCTGCTCTTCTGCGCCTGCCTTCTAGGCAATGGAGATCTTACACTCCAGGGTTGCATCCTGAATTATGCAAACGATTTCCAGGAATGGATTTGCAAATTACTCAACAAGAAGACCCTGAGAATAATAAATGCGCGATATCGCCTTCCAGTGAAGATCATTTCTCAGGAGAAGGATTCTGATACACCTGCAAGGCCTTTTGATTCTTTGAGCCCATGACACGTGGCTCCTTCAGGATAGATGTGGTTGGGGAAGGTGGTTCAAGTCTCGAATGCTATCTACCCAGCCGCATTGCATTGGCTTTGCTAAATTAATGTATTGCATCTGTTCCTGATGCGCCCAGAAGTCTTAGCTTCGCCCATGCAGCAGTGTGACTGGAGTCCACATTGATTTGATCAGATGCCTCAATTTAAATTATACATATACACACACACACACACACATATATATAATTTTTTTTAACTAACAACACACTACATTTCGTAAGACCTCAAAGACATGCAGTTTCTGGATATCAGTCCACAAATGTCATTCAAATTTTCACACCCACCAAGAATATACCAATAAAGCTAGTCACACTGATTATTCCTTCCTCAATGAATATTGTAGTGTAGGAAACGTCCAGTAGTACTAGGCCAAAATTGAAAATGTTCGTACTGTAATTTAAAAATTCTTTAAGATCACAAAATGCAAATGATAATCTGAGACTTTGTTCTGTTGCACACGATCTTCTTCCAGTCTGAGGAACTTGTATTTCAGTTGATAAGAGTGCATCTCTCAAGCTCAATAAAGCACATCTCAATAAAGTGCGGTATGACCAATGGAAGACTGTGAAATTTTACTAGATTAACAACCTGGTCATCCCATCGAACACATAACATGTCACAAGAATACAAAACAAACCTTACAAAATAGAACAAGATGCACAACATAGACATAAAAGAGAGTCCATGTATTTATAATTTAAATATCAAGAAAAAATTAATTTAAAAAAACTGGCAGAAATAAATTCTGACAAAGTTATTGGTATTTTCATTACTGTGAAAATAGTTTTGTAGTTACCGTAATGAAAGAGAACTTGTGCATTACATTGTTAGGGGTGTATAGGTGAGATGAGGATAACCATGGCCATGCGAAAACAATACGATCAAGAACACATTCAGGAATTACATTTTGTGAGACACCAAGACACACTTGTAAAACCTGTCAAGAAAAGGTTCTAAAATATAACTAGCAATAGGATCTGGCAAGTAAATTAACTTCAAGCTGAAGGATGGGGATGATGTTACAATTCAATAAGAATTATTTGAACTCAGTCAGAAAGTTAACTGACTCTTCAATTCTGCTCAGGGGACCACAGCTACATCACGGTATTATTCTCTTTAACATGACCAACACTTACTTTTTCTCATATAGACTGAATATTAAAAAGTGTACTTGTATCTCTTCAATAACTGGGAAAATGTCTGATGTACAGCTAAGTAATAGGATACAATGCAAATGCAGACACATGAAAATAAGTCTGAAATCCCAGGTCACTTACAAGGCTGATCACTGCTGCTTGCTCACTATGTTGAAAATGGAACATCAGTAACACTTAGAAGGGCTTGGAGATTGAGCACTAATCCTAGACATTCTATTGACAGCAGTTATTAGGCAACAAGGGGCAAGGGGTCCATTTTCAGAGGGTCCACCCACGCCACTTGGTGTTTTTAAGAGGATGGTATCACTTAGGAAAATGTTGTGGAAGCAGACAGCAAATATCACCAAGAATGATCAGTACTCATCCTCTTCTCTGAAGCCCCTGAGACATAACAATGCTAATTGGCTCATGGAGACACAGACCAAACCTAATTTGGCCAATTGGCTGTTGTCTGGAACAATCAGGAGTAAGATTCTCAGTTGTGGCCAAAGTGTCTTGGGCAGTAGAAGGAGGGCTTGTGTTCCAAAGGACTATGGTTACTACCCAGAGGTCTCTGGTGCTGACACAGGGAGACTGGAAAGGAAGATGTGGCTGCTGAACATGGTCATGGCCACAGGGAATACATGGTGAACAACACGGTCTCCTGTAGCCATCCTGACAGAGAACAGGGTCATGTGGGCACTGAGTTTCCTCTATGAAGAAGAGGTGAACATTCCAGCAGGTGGGTAATGATACTATAGGTCTCCACTGTCAGTTCTAAATATGTTCCAGGTATCACGTCCCACTGTCCTCACTAATGCAGAGTGAATATCTGTGACATGTAGGAAAAACACTGGAAAGTCAAACTGATGCACCGTATTCATTATAGTGAATAAATTTGAGCCCGTGATGCAAAAGAAAATTGAACTTGCACAAAGGCCCAGCCCTGAGTAACGGGGGCCTCCTTAGTGTCCATCTATGTGCTAAGCTCTAAAGGCAGACAAAATACACCTAAGACTCAAGGTAGATTCCCCTGGAGAAACCAAGGAAATGACAGGTAGTGTTCCCATGAAGTCTGTGAGCCATATGTTAAGCACTTTAAGATATCAGAACAAAATGGAAAATTCAAGATAACTGCAAAAAGGAAAACAGCAGCAATAGCTGTGTGTTCTGTTTACTGGACTTAGCTGTCTCTCTACCCTGCACTGATGCCCTAATATGCCACAATGGAGAATGCCCCCATCTCTGCTACCAGACTCAAATTTGACTCGACTTTAAAGAAAATTTTTAAAAATATTTTATGTATTTATTTTTAGACACAGAGTAAGGGAGGGAGTAAGAGGAGGAGAGAAACATCAGTGTGAGGTTGCCTCTCACATGCCCCCTACTGGGGACCTGGGCTGCAACCCTGGCAATCCCCTGCCAAATGGGAATCAATCCATCAATCCATTGGTTGGCAGGCTGGCACTTAATCCACTGAGCCATACTAGGCAGGGCAAAAAGATTTTGTAATTTATTTATATTTAGACAGAGTGAATGAGACAGACAAAATAAGGGAGGGGCGGGCCCCTTCTGAGGACTAGGACACCAACTCAGGCATGTGCCTTATCTAGGAATCGAGTCAGCAACCCTTTGGTTCAAAGGGCTGCTCTCAATCCACTCAGACACACTATCCAGGGAAGAAGGCTTTTTATTATATGATTAAATGTAGAAACTTACATAAGTGATGAAGTGTGTTAATTAATGAAGATTATTCTTTAAAGGATATGATATGTACCTACTATACTTTGTACAGTAAAATCCCAAACAATTTCGAAATATTTCACACTATTAAAACAATGATCACATCCCTTGAAAAAAGAAACAGTTATTCCATAACACGAAAATGACTTGTTATTCAAGGAGTGAAAGTGGGTGTCACTGGAATATATACCTTTGCTGCTTTACTCTATTTCTTAAAGTAGCCCAAATTAATAAAGGAACAGGTAAATTATGACCAAAGATTTGACTAAATACATATCAGTAGTACATACACACCAGCAAAATGCTCATCCTGAATCCTATAGGAAATGCAAATAAAATGACAGAGACACCACAATAAACATTTGTAAAGAGGTTAAATTCAGAAAAATAGAAGAAATGAAGACTTTGTTACAGTGAGGAACTGCACTTTGCAAACACTTTTGGTAAAAATGCATAAAGGCACAATTAGTTGATGTACTTTGTGTAGTTTTTCAAAATTTAAACATTCTACTTCTGAGATATATCCAGAGTAGGAACATATAAAACTAAACTCCAATGTTTCCCCAGAAAGTTTCAATGCCATTACACTAAAAAAGAAAACACATTTGCAAGGCCCTGGTTAGTGAGACTCAGTGGATTCTATTGGGGTCTGCAAACCAAAGTGTTGGTGGTTGGATCCCAGTGAGGGCACACACCTGGGCTGCCAGGTGTGGGGACTAGCCAGCAGGGGAGCATGCAATAGGAAATCACACAATGATGTTGCTCTCCCTCACTTTCTCTCCCCCTTCCCCTCTCTTTAAAAATTCATAAAACTTTCAAAAAATGAAAATACATTTGATATAATCTAAACACATACACAATGAGAATTCTCCAATGTCAAAATGGAACAGACCCTTGGGTAAAAATTTCCACGTTCACATTCCACATTAATACTCTAAAGAGTGAACAGTGAGTAAGGTGGCCATGACTACCAGGGAAAATCTCCAATATGTGATGTCTCCCAAAAGCTTAGCCATGGTGTAAACGGTCTGGTGATAGAAAGGGCAGAGGAGGGAACACGAATCTCCCACTCTGACTGCACTCCTAAGGCCTTTACGTAGACTGAAGTCTCTCTATATAATATAGGTTAGTGCTGCAAGGAAAACAATTTCAAATGGCATGTATATAAAAAAACCTATCAACCGTGACCTCAGTGAAGAAAAAACACATGTCTAGAACTAAAAGATTTCCCAAATAATCCTATAAGAACTGAGTGATTGTGAATTTTCTGATGAGATCAGAGGCCATGACTGCTGGTAAGATATTACACATAATCTCAGCAACCAAAAGGCACCACTGGAGAGTAAACTCTGTCAAAACCACTGAAATTATGGATGCAAAAAAAGAATTACCCAAATTCACTTCATTATGAGGACATTTCCCAGTGAGAACTCTGATTACAATGCAGGTGACTGGTACAGATAAAGATGTTCCACATTCCAAAGTAACTGCACTCAAAAGGCCTTTATCCAGTGTAAACAGCTTAATGATGACAAAAGAAGGAGCTACTAATGAAAGTATTAGCACATAAATTACCGTCATAAAGTTATTCTCCAAGGTGAACTCTCTGATGACAACGCAGGGTAAAGCTCCTGGCAAAGGATTTCCCACATTTCTTGCACTCATAAGGCCTTTCTCCAGTGTGAACTCTGTGATGTTTATAGAGGCCAGACCTACTGGTACAACACTTCCCACACTCACTGCATTCATAAGGCCTTTCTCCAGTGTGAACTCTCTGATGCTCCAAAACATTGGACCTCCTACGAAAAAATTTCCCACATTCACTACACTCATAAGGCCTTTCTCCAGTGTGTACAATGTTATGTACACGGAGGGCAGAAGCACTGCGAAAGCACTTCCCACATTCACTGCACTCATAAGGCCTTTCTCCAGTGTGAACTGTCTGATGTTTTTTGAGGTTAGAACTAGTGATATAAGATTTTCCACATTCATTGCAAACATAAGGCCTTTCTCCAGAGTGAATTCTCTGATGATTCAGAAAACCAGACCTCCACCTAAATGATTTTCCACATTCACTGCACTCATAAGGCTTTTCTCCAGTGTGAACTCTTTGATGTCTAAGAACATAGCTATAGGGGAAACATTTCCCACACTCACTGCACTCATAAGGCCTTACTCCATCATGAACATTGTGATAGTCGTGGAGGGCAGAACCAGTGGTATAAGATTTCCCGCACGCACTGCACTCATAAGCCCTTTCTCCAGTGTGAACTCTCTGATGAAAACAGAGGGCAGAAATTCTGGAAAACGACTTCTCACATTCAAAACACACAAAACACTGTCTCCCAGTAAGGAACCTCTGATCATCAGAAACTGTGTCCTTACAATCCATGGCTTTCTTATTTTCTCTTTGGACGGAATGATATTTCGTACTGTGCAAAGTTATTCCAGACTGAGAGACTTTGTTTGCCCTGTGCATGGTGTCAGTATCCTGTTGCTCAAGATGTCCTGAGGTCATGGTGAAGTCTTTTCCAACCTGCCTGGATGTACAAGGCTTCCATGTCATATGGGAATTGCAGCTCTTTCCAAATGAGACACTGCCCACACTGCTTAGGAGGTAATTCTGTGTTGTGTCCTGTTCCTGATGCTGGTTGCTCCATGCACTGAAATAAAATGGTTTTGCACACGCCCCACACCTCAGCAGTGTTGTGCTGTGTTGAGTTCCCTGCTGATAAACCAAGAGGAAAATGTCTCTTAAGACCGGCTCACATCTCTCACAGGGGTGGCCCTTCTGGGTAGACAAGGCTGCCTTAGGATACTTTTCTTGTGATGCTTGTTCAGAGAGTTCCTGTTCAGTGGGTGCCTCCACATCCTCTGCTTCACAGCAGCAACCTGAACAAAAGCAAACACTACTGAAGTACATACTGAACTACGGAGGGGGTATTCTCATCACAAATTTCCGTCTGTCATATGTAAGGATGATTCCCTGTGACAACTTTCCAGGCAAGTGGGACAGACTTTGAGAGAGTAGTAGTGTATTATTATGCATTAAGAGAGAAAATAATGGTCCCCTCCTTAAAGGCAGTAAATTATGGTAAAAAAAGGAACAAGGAGAGATAGAGTTTAAAAGTTGTTCTTCTAGCAGGAGCCTAAAGCAATGTCATTCTATGGTCTGTTGGCCATTTCAGAGCTTAGGAAATGTAATGGTCAATTCATTAGAAAGAAACATCTGGGGGAAAAAAGTTGTTCTTCTGCTGATGGCAGCCTGCAAGGTCATTCCTGCTAGTGACGGCAGGCCGTGTAGAGGAATGTGAATATGCAGAAAACCACGATGATCAACCCCAGCAGAGCAGATACTGAGCAAGGTTCCTATGAAAATGTGCAGCTTCATCACCCAGTGATCATTGAGCAAACTTGAGGAGCGCACCAAAGACACTCTTCACACACAGGGTAGTTAGGGCTCTAGATGTTACAGAGGTGAAGATGAGCCCTGGCTACAAATAACAGTAGAAAAGATAACTATGAGAACTAACAAGGAGGCAAAGTGCCAACACTTGGAAAGGACACAAAGATTAAGGTGCAGACACTGGTAATGGTAAGAAAATGTAGTTAAACATAAGAGGTTTCTCATTATGTTTTAACAAAGCCATGGCACCAAACACTCCCCAAGTGACTTTCACTATCACCAAAGCCTCCCTGAGCCCATCCCATCAAGGCTGGACTCATGTTCCTGTTGTGCTACACAAAGGACCCTTTCATTCCCTACCAGTTGAGCAGTTACACGAAATGGTGAGGAGGCAACTCCTAAGAGCAAACACAAGACATGCATTACCAGCACTGTTGTAGGACAACTCAACACAAATAGACAAAAGGAAAAAGGTCTATGGGAGTAGCATCAGGTGGATGGCAGAATAAAAAACACAAATATTATGTGCCCTTTAAGAGTAGTTAGAAAATTATCTCACTAAAAGTACCCTAAGGAAAAATGGAAATAATTTTTCCATTTTTAAGGGGATCGATTTTTCCAAGAGCCATAAAGTGGAGCATAAAACAAGAAATGGCACAGAAAGAATTGCAAGACAGACTGGCTTCGAAAAGATACTTAGATTCCTAAGAGAAGGGTGAAAGCTTCCTCTCCAAGCCACTGAGCTTGTGCTACAGTGGACCCTAGTGGCCTGTTTTATGAATGACCATGACCACCACTGTCACTGAGAAATTCAGGAATCTCGGTAATATCTGCCAACCTCTCACAGATTTTATCCCAAAGGAACCTGTAGTTCATCAGAAAGAATATCAAGAGGAATCCCTTTGGCTACATCATATGTTAAGAAGGAATAACATCATCTACTCCCAGCAACCTTTGCCACCAAGAATCCAACAGGGACCACTCGATATTTGGAAAACTGCTCCCCTGGCCACAGGGGACCCCTACAGTCTTCACTACTCTATTTCAGTTCTGGGGCAGCCAGAAGAATTACAATTGAAACTTGTCATTACCCAAAGCACAGCATGGCACCTACTAAAACACTAGAATCCACGTGCAGATCAAACTTCATCTAGTTCTGGCTTGTGTGTTGCACGGGGTTGACTACTGGCCTGCTAACAGAAAATTCGCCTGCTAGATTCTAAGTGCCTGGAATTCTAAGTGACTAGATTTCTGGCCAGGACCCCAGCTGAGGGCATGCTGGAGGGAAGCAATGGACAATTCCCTAGCACACTGATGTTTTGCTCCCTCTCTTCATCCCTTCCCCTCTTGGTAGATAAGTAATAAATAAATCTTTAATATAAAAACTAATTTTTATGGTAACTGTCTTGTAAAATGCGGAGACCTCAACACTAAGACCAAAAGTAATGTAAAAAAAATTACAAAAGGAACATCACAGTTTTGTACTGGATTCCCATAAATGGAGATCTACACATTGCCCACACTAAAATGCAAATAGTCATTCTTAAAATCCTGTGTGCAGGGTAGAGGGGAATAAAAAGGGGTAAATGGGACAGCTGTAACACTGTGAAATAGATTTGACAATATAATCAAAAATACATTTAAAAATAAATAAATAAAAATAAAAATTTTAAATTTAAAAAATAAATAAAATCCTGACTTCTGGCCAAGATGGAGGTGTAGGTGGAAACACTGTACTTCCTCACACAACCAAGTTTAAAGACAACAAAGTTTTAGCAACAAAAATGCAGCCAAAACACAGAAAATTGACCTGTACAAAATTCCGACAACAACAAATCATTCAGCCAGACCCGTAAGAGGGGCAGAGTCAGTGGCTGGCTGAGCGGGGGTTGCGCAAGAAAAAGTGGCCAGAACAACCCAGGTGCACGGGTGGCAGTTGGCAGATCCCAGACATGGGGTGGCAATGGAGGGACCCAGTGGGGCCACAAGGCGGCTGGCTGACCATGGTCACACATTCACACTCAGAGAAACCAGGCAAAGGATCGAGCAGTTAAGACAAACCACCCACGCTAGGGCCCCAGTGAAAGCACCAATTGGAAAGACTTTTCAGGGTCGAGGTGCTGGGAGAAGCTCCTAGACTCACAGAGAGTTCATTGGAGAGACCCACAGGGTCCTGGAGGGTATATAAGTCCACTCACCTGGGAACCAGCACCAGAAGGGCCCAATTTGCTTGTGGGAAGTGGCAGAGGGGACAGAAATCTGAGAGAGAGCAGAACAAATGCCATTGCCCCTCTCTGACCCCCCCCCCCACAGTGTTACAACCCAGAGACGTGAGTTGCCCCACCCTGGTCAACACCTAAGGCTCTGCCCCTCATACAGTGCCAACAGACCAAAACATTATAGCTCAAGAACAGCTCAAAGCCCTAGAGCCAATAAATCTAAGCGACCAAGAGACAGCTAGCCTTTCAGATACACAGTTCAAAACACTGGTGATCAGGATGCTCACAGAACTGCTTGATTTGAATCACAAATTAGATGAACACATGAAGGCTAAAATAATTGAAATGAAGGGAAATGCACAGGAAACTAATAGTGATGGAAAGGAAACTGGGACTCAAACCAAGGGAGTGGAGCAGAAGGAAGAAAAAAATGACCAAACAGAAAAGAATGAAGAAACAAGAATTCAAAAAAAATGAGGAGAGGCTTAGGAACCTCCAGGATATCTTTAAACATTCCAACATCCGAATTATAGGGATACCAGAAGGGGAAGAGGAAGAGCCACGAATGGAAAACATATTTGAACAAATAATAAACGAGAACTTCCCCAATCTGGCAAAGCAAATAGACTTCCAGGAAGCTCGGAGAGTCCCAAAGAAGTTGGACCCAAGAAACACACCAAGGCACATCATAATTACATTAACCAAGATTAAATAGAAGGAGAGAATCCTAGAAGCAGCAAGAGCTAAGGGGACTGTCACCTACAAAGGAGTTCCCATCAGACTGTCAGCTGATTTCTCAAAAGACACCTTACAGGCAAGAAGGGGCTGGAAAGAGGTATTCCAAGTCATGAAATCCAAAGACTTACAACCAAGATTGCTCTATCCAGCAAAGCTTTCATTTAGAATGGAAGGACAGAGAAAGTGCTTCTCAGATAAGGTCAAGTTCAAGGACTTCGTCATCACCAAGTCCTTATTATACGAAATGTTAAAGGAACTTATCTAAGAAAAAGAAGATAAAAAATATGAACAATGAAAGGACAGCAAACTCACAGTTATCAAAAACCACACCTAAAACAAAAGCAATCTAAGAGAACAGCTAGATCAGGAGCAGAACCATAGAAATGGAGATCACATGGAGGGTTAGCAATAGGGGAGTGGGAGGAGGAGAAGGGAGGAGAAGGTACAGAGAATAAGTAGCATAGACGGTAGGTAGAAAATAGAGAGGGCAAGAATAGTATGGGAAATACAGAATCTAAAGAACTTGTGACACATGGGCATAAAGGAAAGGGGGAATGGTGGGGGAGGGGTGTGCAGGGTGGAGGGGAACAGAGGGGGAAATAGAACAAATGTAATGGCATAATCAATAACAAAAATGTTTAAAAAAATTAAAAAATAAAATCCTGAAAAGAACAAGCAAATGCACATGGAAGTCAACATAAAGAACAAACAAGTGCAGTCACAGTATATGGGGATCAGAGTCAGAAACCATAAAAATTAGAAGAGAAATTCAGGAATTGAGAAGAGTATGATGAATAAAGTGAAAACTGAGAAAAGAGTTTCAAAGCAGGCAAGACCAAGACCTAAATTGGATACATCATCTCAGGGGAAGATTATATAAAGTTTGAATACACTTTTAAAAAAAAGTTTTACTTTTTTTATTTTTACGGACAGAAAGGGAGAAGGAGAGGGAGAGAGACATCAGTGTGTGGTTGCCTTTCCTGTGCCACCTGCTGAAGCCCTGACCTGAAACCCAGGCATGTGGCCCAGAATGGAACTCAAACTGATCACCCTTTGACTCACTGTCCTGCACTCAACAGAACTAATAAATATACACAAACTATTTTATTCAGATGGGCCAGGTGGATTAGTTGGTTGGATGGTTTTCCAGAGCAGCACCAAAAGCTTGAAAGTTCGATCCTTACATGAGGACACAAAGGAGGCAACAGATTGATGCTTTTCTTTCAACTGCTACGTGTGTCTGTCTCTATCTCCCTGTCTGCTTCTATATGCCTTCCTCTCCAATAGTTACTAAACATTTTCAGATGAAGATTAAAAGTAAATATATATATGAAGATACTATCAACAGGAGTGTAAAAAACAACTGTCCACACTACTCAATGTGAAATCAGTTGGATTTCTGGCAACAACACTGACCTCAAATCCTTCCCCCCTATGGAGTTTCAGAACAGCAGGTATTGGGGCCCCTGGGAGAAAAGGGGGCCGTGCCAACACACCCCCTGCCAACCCCAAGATCTACCCAGAAACCTGGGAATGCAAACTGTGCACCTACAGTCAACGTGTGAGGACACAGCAACTCCTCAAGAATGAGGGGCATGGGACAGAGAAAGCCTAGTGCATGTGCATGGTGAGTGTAAACATCATTATCTTTTTGAAGAGAGAGTTCACTTATTAACATTTGTGGCAATGAGGGGTCAAAAAAGGACCACTGGAGACAGAATCTGGTCTGTCTGGTCAGGACAGACCTGCCAGTCTGGTCAGGACCCTTAGAGGTTATAACGGAACCAAACTTAACCCTGAAGAAAGGTGGGTGCAGGCAGGCCAAAGTTGAGCACAAAGGGGCATCTTACCCAGCGAGGATACATGAGCAAAGTTCTCCAGCATCACATCCAGGTACAGGCGTCTCTGAGCCTCATCAAGGAGGTGCCATTCTGTCCTGGACAGATACACAGCCACATCCTCAAAGGTCACAACAACCTGTCAGAATTAATACAAATGAAACCACAATCATCTGTCTGACACCAGCCTTGCCCAATGCTATTCCAACCTTTCCCACTCTGAAAACCATCCAGGATGCCCAGCCTACAGAGGAAAACAGCCCCGCTGCCTGCTGTCTCATCGGACTCATTAACCACTCACATTGCCCTCAGCAACAACAGCAGTGATTGGTCCTGCAGCAGATAAGCAGACATCTAGTCTCAAGCCAAACCTTCTGGGCTCCATCCCTCCTGGCCAACAATTCTACTCAGTCTCCCAGATCACGTCCCTACAGCAGAGCCAAACTTGGGCTTATGTTTCACCCATCAGTCCCCACACTAAGCACAGGAGATCATGAGACCACACTTTCTCTAGCTGGGTACAGTGTGATGTCTTCCTCCTTCACAGCTTCACACCCCAGTTTCACTTCCTAAGCTCTGCAACCTCCTGCTCCACACTCTGAAAGCACCCTTGAACTTAAACTATGGCTTCCAGACAGTGCTCAGGTATTTCAGAATGACCTAGTACAACTGATGCAGGGCAGAAAGAACTTAGAGAAAAATCCTGACAGGTGTAACCAGGATGTAGGAAGCCACAACACTTAACCACAGGCCCTTTCTTGGGGCACCAACAAAGTAAAACAGTGGCAAGAAGCACCTTGGGCAACCACAGGACTGCAAACTACAAGGACCTCTCCCGACCAGTGTCCCACTCAGAATTTGGCACCCAAAACCTTGGACAAATAGCCCCCACCCTTGAAAACAGGTAAAACTCCAAGAACTGTTTTGCTCCTGTCCCCCCAGATGGCCCACCTCCACCTCCACTACGTTTTCCTTCCTGCACTATGTCGCCCATACTGGCCTCTTTCTTTTCCCCACGTGAATAAAACTTGCTTTACTCTCTCACTGATTTGTTATTCAAACTGACCCTAACCAGTGAAAGTTGGACGAAGGCTGCTGGACACTCTAAACTTTTCTGAAGGTGCCAGGCAGGAACAGCCCTCGGTGTGTTATAGTTCAGTAAGAAAACCGCCCCTTAGTCGGTCACGCTCTCTTGCTCCGGTAACACCCTGTGTCACCCACAGCTGTCTCACCAGACCTGTCGCTGGGGCCTGGGCTGCAGGATGTGGCGGACTCACGGCGCCTGGCCTGCAGGGCTCGGTGCGGTGATAGGAGGGACTGGGGTCGCACACTCACCTGCAACCGGCGCCTCAGCACGCCCGCCGCCATCGGACTCTGTGGGCCGAGCTGGGCCAGAGCAGCGGGCAACAGGGTTGTTCCCAGAACGGGGGTCCGGGGGCTGCCCCAAGGGCAGGTCACCCGAGCAGCTTAGTGGGTCTCACAGATGCTGTGGGAAACACAAGTCTGGCACCTGCCCTACTCCATACTGGCAACGCACAGCTTGACAATCTAATTATGAATCTGAGAGAACAGGAAATGCCAGCCCACGTAAGGCACAAGTCCCGCCCTACAGTGGTACCCAACAGGAAATGCATTTCAGAGTTTTAATTGGCTCTCCTTACTGCTATTCTGCTCCTTCCTTCCTCTGGGTAATGCAGACCTTACCCTGTATTATGCTAGGGTTTCCAGCAGTGGGTTTGCAAATTTACACACCAAGACCCTGAGAATAATAAGTGCGCCGTTTCGACTTCCAGTGAAGATAATTTCTCAGGCGAGGGCTCTGGAATGCCTGCCTGCAAGGCTGTTGATTCAGGGCATATAGTATGTTGTGCCTTCAGGCTGGAGGGGGTTGGGGGAGGTTGTTCAAGTCCCTACCACTATCAACCGAGCCGCAGTTGGACGGCTTTCCGAAGTTACTGCAGTAAAATATGCACTAATACTTAAGTGCATCTGTTCCTGATGCAGCAGAAGTTTTAGCTTTGCCCATGCAGCATTGTGACTGGAGTCCACACCGGTTTGATCAGACGCCTCTGATTTAAATTACACATTCCTTTTCACTAACAATGGAGTACATGTTGAAGACCTCAAAGGCATGAAGTTACTGGAGTTTGTCCCACAAACTGCATGTAAATCCAGACCCATCTAGAATATAGTAATAAAGTTAGTTTCATTGATTTGGTTTTTCCTCAGCGCACATCGTAGGGTCTGGAATGTCCAGTAGCACTAGGTCAAAAGTGAAAATGTTCATATCGAAATTTAAATATTACTTAAGATTACAAAATGCAAACATTACCTGAGACTTCGTTGAATTGCATGCAATCTTTTTTGCAATCCAAGGTTTACTGTTGCTGAGAACACATTATCTCTGAAGCTCAATAAAGCACATCTCAAGAAAAGGGTGGGGATATGACCCAGGGGGAGAATCTGTGAAATATTACTAGGTTAACAACCTGGTTACCCCATCGAACATATATGACACAAGAATATAGCACCAACCTTAGAAAACAAAATAAGATGCATGATATAAACATAAATTGGAGTCCATTCATTTGTAGTTTAATTATCAATCATGGAAAATTAATTGTAGAAAAACTAGCAGAAGTAAAGTGTGACATTTATTGGTATTTTCATTAGCATGAATAGGGTTTTACCACAATGGTTGTAGTTACCACAATGAAAGAGAACTTCTGAGTTACATATTTAAGAATGTATAGGTGAGATTAGGATAACTATGCCATTGTTAAACCAATCAGATTAGGAACACATTCATGAGTTATATTTCATGAGACACCAAGAAACACTTGTAAAACCTGTTAATAAAAGGTTATAAAATACAACTAGCAATATAATGAGGCATGTAAATAAACTTCAAGCTAAAGGACGGGGATGATGTGAGTTACAAATGAACTGATACCTCTTTTCTGCTTAGGGGACCACAGCTATGCCATGGTATTATTCTCTTTAACATGACTAACACTTACCTTTTTCTCATATACACTGAATACTAAAAGGTGTTCTTGTATCTGTAGAATAACTGGAAAAATGTTTGACTTACAACTATGAGATGGCATACAATGAAAATGCAGAGACTTGGAAAATAATGCCCTAAAGTCCCAAGTCACTTACAAGGCTGCTCATTGCTGCTTGTTCACCATGTTGAAAATGGAACATCAGTAACACTTAGAAGGGCTTGGAGATTAAGCACTAATCCTAGACATTCTATTGACAGCAGTTATTCGGGAACAAGGGGCAAGGAGTCCATTTTCAGAGGGTCCACCCATGCCACCTGGTGCTTTTAAGAGGATGGTATCACTTAGGAAAATGTTGTGGAAGCAGCTAGCAAATATCACCAAGAATGATCAGTACTCATCCTCTTCTCTGAAGAAGCCCCTGAGACATAACAATGCTAATTGGGTCATGGAGACATAGACCAAACCTCATTTGGCCAATTGGTGCTGTCTCATACAATCAGGAGTAAAATTCTCAGCTGTGGCCAAAGTGTCTTGGGCACTGGAAGGAGGGCTTGTGTTCCAAAGGAACACAAGTTAGTAACTATGATTACTATGGTTGGTAACTAAAGGAACACAAATAGTAACTATGGTTACTACCCAGGGATCTCTGGTGCTGACACAGGGACACTGGAAAGGAAGATGTGGCTGCTAAAGATGGTCAGGGCCACATGGAATAAAGATCATGAGCAACATTGTCTCCTGCAACCAGTCCTAACAGAGTACAGGGTCAAGTGGACACTGACTTTCCTCTATGAAGGAGGTGAACATTCCAGCAGGTGGGTAATGATGCTATAGGTCTCCACTGTCAGTTCTAAATATATTCCAGGTATCACATCCCACCTCCTCGGTACTGAGTGAATGTCTACAACATGTAGCAAATACGATGGAAGGTCAAAATGATGTACCCCGTTCACCACAGTGGATAAAATCAAGCCTGTGATGTAAAAGAAAACTGAAGATGCAAAAAGGCCCGGCCCTGAATCATGGGGTTCTCCTTAGTGTGCAGCTGTATGCTAAGTTCAAAAAGGCAGTAGATAAAACACAGCTGAGTCTTGCTGTAGATTCCCCTGAGAAACCATGGAAATGACAGGAAACACTGAAGACAGTGAGGCAGACAATAAGTACTGTAAAACATCAGAACAAAGTTGAAAATTCATGATAACTGCAACAATGAAAAGAGTAGCAATAGCTGTGCTTCCATTTCACTGGTCTTAGCTGTCTCTCTGCCCTGCACTGAGGCCTTAATATGCCACAGTGGAGAAATCCCCATCCCTAAAGCCAGACATAAGTTTGAATATGGCCTTTTTGTCAAAGATATTTTAATTTATTTATTTTTAGACAGAGGGAATGGGAAAGACAAAGGCAGACAAACATCAATGTATGCTTCCTTGTCACGGGGCCCATTCTGCAGACCTGGCAGAAAACTCAGGCACGTGCCCTCACTGGGAATTGAACCAGTGACCTTTTGGTTCAGAGGTCTGCTCTCAATCCACTCAGATACACTATCTAGGGCACAAGGCTTTTGATTATATTATTAAATGTTGGAACTTACCAAAGTGACTAGTGTGTCAATTAATACACATTATTATCTAAAGTATATGATATGTATCTACTATGCTTCGTACAGCAAAAACCCGAACAATTTGATATCATACATAATCTCAGGAATCAAAAGGCATCCCTGGAGTGTAAACTCTGTCATAACAACAGAAATTATGAATTTAAAAAAAATTTTCCGAAATTCACTTCATTTATAAGGACATTTCCCAGTGAGAACTCTCCGATGACAATGCAGGTGACTGGTACTGATAAAGGATATTCGACAGTCGCTGCACTCAAAAGGCCTTTCTCCAGTGTAAACAGCTGAGTGAAAACAAAAGGCAGAGCTACTAATGAAAGCATTTGCACATGAACTGCAGCCATAAGGTTATTCTCCAATGTGAACTCTCTGATGACAATGAAGAAGAAAGCTCCTGCCAAAGGGTTTCCCACATTTCTTGCACTCAGAAGGCCTTTCTCCAATGTGGATTCTCCAATGAACACGGAGAGCAGAAGTACTGGGAAAAGACTTTCCACACTGACTGCATGCGTAAGGTCTTTCTCCAGTGTGAACTTTTTGATGATTCAGAAAACCAGAGTTCCAAGTAAACAATCTTCCACAGTTTTTGTGTGTATAAAGTTTTTCTCCAGTGTGAATTCTCTAAAAACTAAGATGAACATGGCTATAGGTGAAAGATTTCTTGCATTCAGTGCACTCATAAAGCCTCACTTCACTGCGTGCTATCTGATGTTTACGGAGTGCATTACTTCTGGTGTAAGATTTCCCACATTCACTGCACTCATAAGGCCTTTCTCCAGTGTGAGCTCTCTGATGAACACGGAGGGCAGAAATTCTGGAAGAAGGCATCTCACATTCAAAACACTTAAAACACCGGCTTCTAGTAGGGAAACTCTGGTCCTCAACAAGTGTGTCCTCAGAGTCCATGGCTTTCTTACATTCTCTTCAGCTATAATGATATTTTATACTATGAAGGGTTATTCCAGTCTGAGACACGTTTGCCCTGTGCACGGTGTCAGTATCCTGTTGCTCAAGATGTCCCGAGGTCATGGTGAAGTCTTTTCCAACCTGCCTGGATGTACAAGGCTTCCATGACATAGGAGAATTGCAGCTCTTTCCAAATGAGACACTGTCCACACTGCTTAGGAGGTAATTCTGTGTTGTGTCCCGTTCCTGGTGCTGGTTGCTCCATGCACTGAAATAAAATGGTTTTGCACACGCCCCACACCTCAGCAGTGTTGTGCTGTGTTGCGTTCCCTGCTGAGCAACCAAGAGGAAAATGTCTCCTAAGACCGGCTCACACCTCTCACAGGATTGCGCCTTCTGGGAAGACAAAGCTGCCTTGGGATACTTTTCTTGTGATACTTGTTCAGAAAGTTTCTGCTCAGTGGGTGCCTCCGTATCCTCTGCTCCACAGCAGCAACCTGAAAAAAACAAAGCCTGCTGAAGTACATACTGAACTAAGGAGGGGGTATTCTCATCACAAATTTGCATTGTCATATGCAAGGATGATTCCCTGTGACAATTTTCAAGGCAAGTGGGATAGACTCTAAGAAAGGGTGGTTGTGCATTACTAGGCAAGTAACACAGAAAATCATGGTCCCCTCATTAACTGGTACATTATGGTAGGACATGGAACAAGGAAAGTTAGGGTTTAAAAGTTGTTCTTCTGCTGATAGTGGCCTTTAAAAGGTTTCCTGCTGGCGATGTCAGGCTGTGTAGAGAAAAATGAATGTACCGAAAACCACGATAATCAACCACAGCAAAATGGATACTGGCAAGGTTCCTATAGATAAATTTGCACCTTTGAGGCACAATGATCACTGAATAAAGTTGGAGAGCACACCCACAACACTCCTCACACAGAGGGCTGTCGTGCAGAGGATACAGAGGCAGAAATTAGCCCTGGCTAGAATCAGACTAGAAAAGATAACTATGAGAACTAAAAATAGGGAAAGTCCCAACACTTAGAAAGGACACGTAGATTAACATGTGTCTACTGGTAATGGCAACAAAATGCAGTTAAAGAAAACAGGATTCTGATTATATTTTAACAAAGCCATGGCATCAAACCCTCCCCAAATACCTCTAATGGCGTCAGTGCCTCTAAGCCCATCCCGTCATGGCTGGACTCGTATCCCTCAAGTGCTACAGAAAGGAATCCTCCAATTCCCTCCCAACTGAGCAGTTACATGGCATAGTGCTGATGCAACTCATAAGAGAAAACAGCAGACATGCATTACCAGCACTATCATAGAACAACTCAGCACAGACAGAAAGAAAAAGATCTATGGGAGTACCGTCAGCAGGATGACAGAATAAAAAAGACAATTATTCTCCGCCTTCAAGAGTAATTATATAATTATGTATGATAAAGGCAGCCCTATGGAAAAGGAGAAGTAATTAGGAGATCAATTTTTCCAAAGAGCTATAAAGAGGAGCATCAAACAACAAATGGCACAAAAAGAACTGCAAGAGAGAAAGGCTTAGCAAAGATGCTTAGATTCCTAAGAGAAGGGTGAAAGCTTCCTCTCCAAGCCACTGAGCTTGTGCTACAGTCGATCCTAGTGGCCTGTTTTCTGAATGACCATGGCCACCACTGTCACTGAGAAATTCAGGAATCTCCGTAGTATCTGCCAAACTCCCACAGATTTTATCTCAAAGGTACCTGTAGTTCATCAGAAAAGATATCAAGAGCAAGACCTTTGGCCACAACATCTCTTATGAAGAAATAACATCATCAATTCCCAGCAATCTTTGCCACCAAGAATCCAACAGGGACCACTAGATAGTTGGAAAACTGCTGCCCTGACCACAGGGGACCCCTACAGACTTCACACTCTAACTTCAGCTCCTGGGGCAGCAAGGAGAATGGGAAGTCACTTCTCTTCACCCAAAACACAACACATCACCTACTAAGAACACTCAAATCCACATGCAGATGAAATCCACCTACATCCTACCTTGTGGGTTTCACTGGGTTGACTACTGGCCTATCAGAGCGTTCACCTCAAGGATTCCAGGTCCCTGCACGTACCTGCATTTCAGGCCAGGACCCCAGATGGGGACGTGCTAGAGGCAAACCATCCATGCTGCTCCGGCACATTAATGTTTCTCTCCCTCTCTTTCTTCCAACCTTCCCCTCTTGGTAAATAATAAATAAATATTTAATATAAAAACAAATTCTCATGGTAACGGTCTCATAAAATGCTTATACCTCAACGCTAACACCAAAAGAAAGGTGTAAAAAAAAATCACACATGGAACCTCACAATTTTGTCCTGAATTCCCAATAAATGGAGAACTACACACTGTCCAGGCAAAAATACAAATAATCATTCTTAAAAACCTCAGTGAGGAACATGCAAATATGCATGGTACTCAACATAATAAACCAATACACTCACACAATAGGGCGATCACAGTCAGAAATCATAAAAATATAAAAATGAAAATCTGGAGTTGAGAATATCACAAATAAAGTGAAAACTGCAGAGTTGCAAAGTAGGCATGATCAAACAGGGAAATAGATACATCATCTAAGAGGCAGCTTATATGAAATTTGATGACCCTTTTTGTTTTTAAGATTTTATTGATTTTATTTTTAAAGCTGGGAAAGGAAAAACAGAGGGAGACAAACATCAAGCTGTGGTTGCCTATAGTACGCCCCCTACTGGGGACCTGCCCCGCATTCCAGGCATCTGTCCTAGACCGGGAATCAAACCAGTGACACTTTTGTTCACAGGGTGATAATTAATCCACCGAGGCACACCAGCCAGAGCTGACTACTATTTAGAGAAAACAGGACTAATAAATATACATACAATATTTTATTCAGCTTGGCCAGGTGGATTAGATGATTGGGTAGTTTTCCAGAGCAGCACCAAAGCCTGCAAGTTTGATCTCTACATGGGGACACAAAGGAGGCAATGGATTGATATTTTTCTCTCACACTGCTCTGTGTGTCTCTCTCTCTATCGCCTTCTCTCCGTCTCTCTACACCTTCCTCTGTAATAGTTACTAAACAAATTCTCAGATGAAGATTAAAAGTAAATATATATATGAAGATACTATCAACAGGAGTTTAAAAAACAACTTTCCACACTACTCAGTGTGAAATCAGTTAGATTTCTGGCAACAACACTGACTCCCCACACTTTACAATTGGTCCTCTGTCCTGCCCTCCTGCATCAGCAGCTGAGTGGGATGTGGAAGGGCCCAAACCTTGCTATTTTACTGTTAATTAATTTTTATAATAAAAGAAAGTCCCTTATCTTATATTATTTTTTAAAATCACAGCATGGCTTCTACAACATCTCAAAAGAAAAAAAACAAAAAAAAATATTACAGATGAAGGAAGATTGTTCAATGAAAAGTGGACAGATGACTCCTATTTTATCGAAGCAAATAGGAAGGCACTCTGCTTCATTTATAGGAAATTTGTGCAAGTTTTCAAGGTCTAAAATTTGAAAAGGCATTATATGCAAAAACATGCTACCAAATTCAATGTGTATGAAGGATTGTTTCATAAGGAAAAAATAGCAGAAGTGAATAAAGTCTGTCTTCTCAATGAAAATGTTTCAAAATATTACAACTCAGGTAGGTACCATTGCAAAAGCTAGTTATGTAGTAGCATATTTAATAGCAAAAAATCAAAACCATTTACTGATGGTGAATTTATTAAGCAATGTATAGACAGCATGGCAGATATAATTTGCCCTGATATAAAGGGGCATATTTCTAAAATCAGATTGCCTCACCAGACTATAGCCAGGTGAACTGAAGAAACTGGAAAATCTATCAAAAAAGTTTAGAGAGTAAAGCTGCTAATTTTAAATGTTATGCTTTGGCAATGGATGATTGCACTGATACTACAGATATGGCTCAACTTGCCATTTTTATTAGACATACTGATAATAAATATAATGTCACTTCCTTTAGTGCTATTGTAAAACACAACTGAATTAAGAGATTTATATGAAGCAGCAAAAAATATGTTAAAAGTGCCCTGGCTGGTGTAGCTCACTGGATTGAGCGTGGGCCTGCAAACCAAACAACTGTGGTTTGATTCCCAGTCAGGGCACATGCCTGAGTTGCAGCCCAGTTCCCAGCAGGGGATGCATGAGAGGCAATCATACATTGATATTTTTCTTCCTCTTTCCTTCCCATCCCCTCTAAAGATAAATAAATAAAATATTTTTTTAAATGTTAAAGTGATTTTCTTTGGCCATTGTCAACACATCTGGTATGGTTACTGATGGTGCCCCGGCAGTGGTAGGTAAAAGAGAGGGACTGTAAAAGTAATAGAAGACGGTGCAATTGCTGCTCAAAACTCATGTTTGATGAAGTATCATTGCATAGCACATCAGTAAAATTTATGCACAAAAGCTTTAAAAATGGATAACATCATGCAAATCATCATCAAGACTATAAATTTTATAAGAGCCAAGGGATTGAATCATCGCCATTTCCAAGAATTCCTTAAAAGTACTGATGCTGACTATGGAGATGTCATTTACTTTTTGGAAGTAAGAGGCTAAGTCAAGGTCAGATTTTGAAGAGCTTTTATGATTTGTGACATGTTGTCAAGTAGTTTATGGTATCAAAATACAAATTCGTGCCAGAATTTGATGATGAAAACTGGCTTACGAATTTAGGATTTTTAGTGGATTTAACCACTCATTTAAACATGCATCTTCAAGGTAAAAACCAACTTATTAACACAATATTCCAAACCATCACAGTGCTCCAAATGAAACTGAAGTTAAGGCAAGCTCAAATTAAGGCAATTTTGTGCATTTTGACACGTTGGCTAAACACAGTGCTGTGAACAGCGAAAAATATGCAGTCTTAATTTTTCAATTTGATACAAGAATTTGAAAACATTTAAAGATTTCTGAGAAAATAATTATATTTTTCTATAGCTGCAACTCCATTTTATGGAGTACATAAATACGTTACATGCCAATACGTATTTATGGAGACATAAATACGTTACATGCCAATTTTCAAATGGAATGCAGAGCTGCACTCTGACATTCAACTTAAAGAAAAATTTGATTGTGTCTCTTCACTGGAATTTTATAGGTCCTATCTTCCCAGAGACACATACCCCTTGCTTCACAATGATGCCTTATTCATCATTGCTATTCGGCAGCATCTACATTTGCAAGCAACTATTTTCAAGAACGAAACATATTAAGAGTAAAATCAGAACAAAAATATATGATGAGCACCTTGAGAACTCACTAAGAATTGTAACTACTTCTTTTTTAAAATTATTTATTTATCTTTAGAAGGGAAGGGAAGGAGAGAGGGAAAGAAATATCAATGTATGGTTGCTTCTCACGTGTCCCCTGCTGGGAACTGGCCTGCAACCCAGGCATGTGCCCTGACTGGGAATCGAACCACGATCCTTTGGTTCGCAGGCCCGTGCTCCATCCACTGAGCTATACCAGCCAGGGCATAACTACTTCTATTCAAGCAGATATTGACGCAGTAGTTTCTGAAATACAACATCAAACATCCCACTAGTTTTATACTGCCCTCTTTTCTTTTATAATAAAAAATATTAAAAATACATCGATGATGTTTTATTACTTAGATATGTACACTTTCTGTATTTAGTGATCACAAACTTGCAACTTGCTCAATGATTTTAAAAGATTATCAAAAGGGCTGCTGAGTAATTAGGGTCATTATGTGAGGACTTTTTTGCTTATCTATGGCAGCAAGTACCAAGAAAATTATGTACCAACCTTTTTTTGCTCCTCAGTTTTCATTAGTGTTTGTGTATTTGATGTGTGGTGCGAGACACTTCTTCTTCTTTCATTGTGTCCCAGAGATGCCAAAAGTTTGCACAACCATGCTCTAAATAATAAATATAATTATTAGCCTTGGCTGGTGCGGCTCACTGGATTGATCATGCCTGCAGACCAAAAATTTGCCAGTTCAGTTCCCGCTCAGGGCACATGCCCAGGTTGTGGCACAGGTTCCCCGTAGGGGGCATGTGAGAAGCAAGTGACTGATGTATGTCTAGCACATTGATGTCTCTTACCCTCTCTTTCTCCTCCCTTCCTCTCTCTCCAAAAAGTAAATAAATAAAATCTTACAAAACATAAAAATTCTTAATATAAATTATAGTTCTTTTTTTTTTAGATTTTATTTATTTATCTTTAGATGGGAAGGGAAGGAGGAAGGGAGGGAATATCAATGTATAGTTACCTTTCGTGGGTCCCCCACTGGGAACTGGCCTGCAACCCAGGCATGTGCCCTGACTGGGAATCAAACTGCAATCCTCTGGTTCTGCCCGCGCTCAATCCACTGAGCTACACCAGCCAGGGCAAAATATAGTTCTTTAAAAAGAATTCATCCATAAACTAAAAAAAAGTAACTGTTCCATGACATACTCAAATATCAACACTAAGACAATAAGAAATATGAAAAAAAATCACAAAAACTTCCTGGATGGTGTAGCTCAGTGGATTGACCACCAAACCAAAGGATTGCTGGTTCAATTCCCAGTTGGGGCACATGACTGGGTTGTGGGCCAGGTCCCTGGTTGAGGGCATCTGAGAGGCAACCAGCTGATGTATCTCTCACACATTGTTTCTCTTCCTATTTCTTCCTCCCTTCCTGTCTCTCTAAATTAAAAAAAAAAAAAATCACAAAAGGAATATCACAATCTTAATGTGAATTCCCACAAATTGGAGGTATACAAATGCCAGAGAAGAATGCAAATAATCATGTTTAAAAATTTTACTGAAGTGCCCTGGCTGGTGTAGCTCAGCGGGTTGAGCACGATGCCTGTGAACTAAAGGATCAAGGTTCGATTCCCAGTTGGGGCACATGCCTGGGTTGCAGGCCAGTTCCCAGTGGGGGAGATGCACAAGAGGCAACCATATATTGATATTTCTCTCCCTCTCTCTTTCCCTTCCCCTCTAAAGATAAATAAATAAAATCTTAAAAAAAGATTGACTTCCATATATGAAAAAGAAATGTGAATAAGTGTGTTACCAATTCTCAGAGGTACCTGTACAGATTCAATGCAAACATGACTTCAGCAAGATGCATTATAACAAAATTGTCAAAAGTCAAGCCTAAAGAGATTTTTGAAAGACCAGTGAAAACAGCAACTCTTCATATACAGGACAAGGCTCCCATAACGCTCTCAGGAGAATTCTCTGAAGAAACCTTGCAGGCTAGGAGAATGTCAAATCATATATTCAAAACACGAAATGAAAACATCTGCTGCATACTTTAACCAGAAAACCTCAGAAATAACAAGAAAAAACTTTCCCAGAGAGGCAAAAGCTGAAGAAGTTCATTTCCACTTACATTGACTTACTAGAAATGCCCCCAAGAATTCTTTGAGCTGAAATAAAAGCATACTACATAGAAACACAAAAATGTACCGACACGTAAAACTCTCTGGTAAGGTCAGAGATGTGATCAAGTTCATGATACTAAAATAGTTCATTGGTGGAATGTACTTTATTTAACTCTATTGAATAGGATAAAAGTAAAGTATATTAAGAATAACAATGGTGACAATTGTGAATAGATATACAAAATGTAAAGATATAAACTGTGACATCAAAACATAATGGAGTAGTGTGTTGGAGAGTCAAAGAAATTTCACATGCAACTGAAGCTGTTTTCAGGTTACAATAATATGTTAAGAGTATCAGCTGCTTTAGGAAAGGTCTAATGGAAACCACATGCATGGTCCTATGTAACGGATACACAAAAGAGAAAGGAATCAAAGCATACCACTGTAGTAAAGGATCAAATCACACACACAGAAAAAAATCAGCAAGAGTGGAAGACAAAACAGGAACTACAAAAGAGATAGAAAACAATGACAAAAGATATTGTTTTTTTTAAAGACTAATGGCCTTGAAGGCCATTTGTAGATCCTAAAAAATTGTTCAATCAAAAGACAAGGATGGGGGGGTGGGCTGGGATGAGAGTAAAAGACAGAATACTATTGAGACCCTGGCTGGCGTAGCTCAGTGGATTGAGTGCAGGCCTGTGAAGTAGATGATCGGGGTTTGATTCCCAGTCAGGGCACATGCCTGGGTTGCAGGCCAGTTCCCAGCAGGGGCCAGTTCCCAGCAGGGGTTGCACCAAAAAAGCAACCATACATTGATGTTTCTCTCCATCTCTCTTTACCTTCCCCTCTAAAAGTAAATGAACAAAATCTTAAAAAAAAAAAAACTATAGTTGAAAAATAATTTTTAAAAAAAAGACAAGGAGTGGCAGAAGGGATAAAAAACGCAGGCTGCTGGAGCATTTGAGATCTTGCTTTTTGGCCACTGTCATCAGTTTGACTCAAATAAATACTATAATAATTCTCATGATGGGTAAAAAAGCTGAAGGGATTAAGATGTACAAATTGGAAGTTACAGAAGAGTCATGGTGATGTAAAGTTCAGTACAGGGAATACAGTGAATAATATTGTAATACTTATGAATGGTGTCAGATGGGTGCAAAATTTATCAGGATGAACACTTAGTAAGTTATATAATGTCTAATCACTGGGGTGTACAAATGAAACTAACATAATAATGTATGTCAACTTTAAAAATTTTTAATTTAGACCTAGCCTCCGTGGGTTGAATGCCAGCCAATGAACCCACTGGATAAAAGTAAAGTATATTATGAATAACAATGGTGACAATAATTTGTGAATAAATATACAAAATGTAAAGATATAAACTGTGACATCAAAACCTAATGAAGTAGTGTGGAGAGTCAAAGGGTCACTGGTTCAATTCCCAGTCAGGGCGCATGCCTGGGTTGCAGGTCAGGTCCCCAGTTAGAGGCATGTGAGAGGCAACTGATGGATGTTTCTCTCCCTCTTTTTTTTTCTCCCATTCCTCTCTCTCTAGGAATGAATAAATATTTTTTAAATTTTCTAAATTTATAAAATTAAATAAGTTGAGGAGCAGCCGGGCTTCCCTTAATTTAAAAGAAAAAAACCTTACAAGACACAATATATGCAGCCTATGAGAGACTCATTAGAACTTTATGGACATAAAGAGGTTGAAAATAAAGAGATGTAAAAAAAATATTCCATATAAATAAAACCAAAGACAACAGGAGTAACTAATATTCTATTACACAAAACAGACAACCTCAAACATTGTCACAAGAGAAAAGTCATCCTAAAATGGTAAAGGAGTCAATCCAACAAGAGGATAACATCTTTAATTACTATGCACCCAACTGCAGACAGAGCACCTAAGTACATTAAGCAAACAGTACAAGATCTGAAGTCAGAAAACACAATGCAACAGTACTAGACAACTAAAATATTCTCCTTTCAACAATGGGTAGATCATCTCAGTCAAAAGTAATATGGAATTACTTAAGTGTGACTACACTTAAAGATATTTATTTATTTATTTATTTATTTATTTAGAGAGGGGAAGGGAGGGAGAAAGAGAGAGAGAAACATCAGTGTGTGGTTGCCTCTCGTGTGGTCCCCATTGGGGACCTGGCCAGCAACCCAGGCATGTGCCCTGACTTGGAATTGAACCTGAGACCCTTTAGTTCGCAGCCCACGCTCAATCCACTGAGCTATGCCAGCCAGGGCAGTTTGACTACACTTTAGAGAAAACAGAACTAATAAATATACACACAGTATTTTATTCAGCCTTGGCCAGTTGGCTTACCTGGATGGGTAGTTGTCTGGTGCAGCACTACAAGGCTGAGGATTCGATCTCCAGTCAGGGATGACCATGAAGCAACCAATCCATCCTCTTCTCGCATTGATGTTTCTCTCTCTCTCTCTCTCAGAACATCCTCAAAGGTCAGCCCATCCTGTCAGAAATAATACAAATGAATCCAGAACAGTCTGTCTGAGACCCTCAACCCTACTCCATACAAAGCTTACCCATACCCAACTGTTTCCTGAATCCCCAGTTCAGAGAAGACACCAGCCCTTGGTGCTAGTGCTGCCTCCTGTCTAATCACAGGTTATCACCATGATCACCCTCAGAAACAGCAGCAAAGATGGGATGTGCCCCAGATAAGTAGCATCTAGGCTCAGGTCCAGGCCTGCGGGGCTCCATCCGTCCTGCCCAGCAATTTCACTGAGTCTCCCAGATCCTGCCTCCAAGACACAGCCAAACACCGGCTTATGCTTCACACTTAAAGACCCGCACCAAATACCCAGGACCACAAGCTCACACTTCCTCTAGCTGTGCACACACTGTGTGACCTCCTCTTCCTTCTCGGCTTGACATCTCAGGTTCACACCCTCAGCTCTGCCACCTCCGGGTCCACACCTGGCATCTCTCTGAAATCACCCATGAACTTAACATATGGCTTTCAGAGAGTGCACTGATATTAGAATGATCTAGAACAATGGAGGCAGGACAGAAAGAAGTCAGAGGAAAATCCTGACAAATGGAAGGAGGAGGTAGGAGGACATGTCCTCTCACTTGAGCCTCTCCCTCTGGCCACAAACAAAGGAGAACAGTGGATGGCAGGAAGCCCCTGTGGCAATCATGGAAATGGAAACTACACGGACCACTCCCAACCACAAGAGGGACTCAGAGTTTGGCACCACACAGCTCGGAAACAAAGCCCCCACCCTTGAAAATGCATAAAATCACAAGAACTATCTCAGCACTTGCTCCTCTCTCTCCAGTTAGCTGGTATCCACTGAAAGGCGCATGTTTTTCCCCCTTCACAGTGGCTCCCACACCGGCCTCTCTTTTTCTACCTGAATAAAACTTGCTTTCGTCTCACACCGATTTGCCCTTGAAACCTTTCCTGGGCCAAAGTCCTGAATATTGTCTGACACACATATTCTTAAGAATGTGCCAGAGCCCCCTAGTGTGTTTGAGGTTCAGGAATAAAACCGCAGTTGGCCCCTCAGCCCACGCCCCTCTCCCCACCACCCCACTTTCCCATCACACCAACTCAGCCAGGAGCACCTTACTGTCCAGGACACCAGGGGCTGGGCTACAGGGTGTGATAGGCACCCCACACCCAGGCTGTAGGGTTCAGTGGGGTGAGGGAGAAAAGCTGGAGGATGCACACTCACCTCAGCAGGGCAACTCAGAAAGGCTGCAGCCAAACACTTTGTGGGCGATGTAACGGGGCTGCTGCAAGTGTGCCCTGGGTCCCTTGTACTGGGGACTCTGTCCCGGCCCTGGATCCAGTCGCCCAAGTATCCTCGCTGGAGTTCCCTCCTGCTGCCATGACCACCACTCTGGCATCTTCTCCATTCAATTTTGTGACCAGAAGAATATGACCAGATAATAACAAAACTAAGAGAAGAAGTGCCTACCAGGAGTTGCTTACCAAGAGACGGACCTGGGCTGTGAACCAGGTCCCCAGTAGGGAGCACACAAAAGGCAACCACACATTGATGTTTCTTCCCATTCTTTATCTCTCTCCCTTCCCCTCTATCTACAAATAAATAAAATAAAATCTTTAAAAAAAAAAAAGACTATCAGCTGATTTCTTAAAAGAAACCTTATAGGCAAGTAGGGGCCAGAAAGAGGTATTCGAAGTCATGAAAGGTAAGGACCTACATCCAAGATTAATCTATCCAGCAAAGCTATCATTCAGAAGGGCAAATAAAGTGCTTCCCAGATAAGGTCAAGTCAAAGGAATTCATCATCACCAAGCTTCTAATCTAAGAAAAAGATCAAAACTATGAACAGTAAAAGGACAGCAAACTCAAAACTATCAACAAGTGAATCTAAAAAACCCCAAAACGAAGCAAACAACTAGAATAGAAACAGAATCACAGAAATAGATCACATGGAAAGACATCAGTGGGGAGGGGAAGGGGGAGAATTGGGGATAAAGTACAGGGAATAAGAAGCATAATTGGTGGGTATAAAGTAGACGGGGGAGTTAAGAATAGTATGGGAAATAGAGAAGCCGAAGAACCTATATGTATGAGGCATGGACATGCACTAAGCTGGGCCCCGGGGGGTAATGCTGGAGGGAAGGCAGGTACAGGGTGAAGGATTATAAAGGGAAAGAGAAAAATTGGACAAATGTAATAGCATAATCAAAAAATATACTTGAAAAATACCTAATCAGAAGAGAAAAATCTAACATTTAAAAGCCTATTGCATGGCCCAAGGTCTAGGGAGTGTTAATCGCTGATCTCTTCTTTTTGCCTTCCAGGTGGGTTTTGAGGCCCAACTAATACTCATTCATCCTCTTCCTGCCTGTTCACCTTCAAGCCCTGCTGCGGCCCAGTAAACCCCAGATGACAGACCATGAAAATGGGTTGACACTAAAAAGCAAGCCTTTTTATTATATTACTAAATGTTTGAACTTACAAAAGCAATGAATTGAGTTAATAATGCAGATTATTGTTCTTTAACGTATACGGTATGTACCGATTACATTTTGTACAGCAAAAAAATCCAAATAATTTGGAATTACTTTACAATATTGAAACAATTATTCCCCCCTCAAAAAAACTCAATTATTCCACAAAGTGAAAATTACTTGTTATTCAAGGAGTGAAAATGAGTAATATTATAACATATGTCTTTGCTGTTTCACTATCCTATTTGTTAAAGGAGAGTAGCCCAAATTAATAAAAAAATAGGTAAATTATGTCAACACACAATTTACTAAAAACATATCAGTAGTATATACACACCTGCAAAAATGCTCAGCATAAATGTTTAGAGAAATGCAACTAAAACAACAGAGAGAACATGAACATATAAAAGCTAAAATTCCTAAAAATTAAACAGATAAAGATTTTGTTAGAGTCATGATACAACCCTTAAACACTATGACTTAAATATGCATAAAGGCACAATTACTTTAGATAGTACTTTGTTAGGTTCTTCAAAATTTAAACATTAAAATTCTGAGACACGTCCACACTGTGAACATACAAAATTAAACATGGACATTTCCTCAGAAAGTTTTCTACTGTGTCATTACACAGAAAAAAAAATAATACACTTCCTAAAATCTAACCATTTACACCATGAGAACTCTCCAATGTCAAAAGGGTGTAGACTTATGGCTAAATATTTCCCAAGTCCATGTCATACTTGAAGCCTTTAACCAACGTGAATTGTGTGATTAAGGTGGCCATGACAATGAGGTAAAAGATTTCCCACATTTGATGTCCCCATAAGGCCTAACCTTGTGTAAACTCTCTGATAAGAAAAGAAAAATGATAATTAAAGAATTTCCCACATTCTCTGTATTCTTAAGGCCTTTACCTAGGGTTAAATCTCTGAATATAATGGAGCTTAGTGTTACAAGAAAAAATTTCCTCACATTGCATGTATATATAAAGCCTATCAGCTTTCTGACCTCCGACAAAATACAAAGGAAATGTCTAGAAATATAAGATTTCCCAAATTTTCTTAACTTATAAGAACTGAGTCATTGTGAATTTTCTGATGACAACAAAGGCCATGGATACTGGTAAAAGATTCTCCACATTCAAAGGACTCAAATGGCATTTCTATGATGCAGACTCTCTCATAATAACAGAATTTACTGATGCAACAAAGACCTCCCACATTTACTGGAACTTAAGGCCATTCCTCAGTGTCAACTCCCTGATGACATGGAGGTATACGCTAAAGGATTTCTCACAATCACTGCAATCATAAGGCCTTCCTCCAGTGTGAAGTTTCATAGAATATAAAAAGGTTAATGATTAAAAAGAAATCCCATATCACTACAGCTATAAGGCCATTCTCCTGGGTGAACTCACTGATGACAATGAAGGTTAATGCTACAGATAAGAGATTACCCACATTCACTGCACACATAGGGCCTTTCTTTTGTGTGAAGTCTCTGATGCTAATGGAGACAAGTGCCACATGTCAAAGATGTCCCCCATTCACTAAACTTAAAAACACTTTATCCAGTGTGAATTCCTCTGTGATGACAAAAGGCAGAGCTACTCATATGTTTTTCCACATTAACCACACTCATACAGGTTTCTCTGCCGAATGAACCCGATAGTGCTGAAAAAGGGCAGAGCTTTGTCTAAAACATTTCTTACATTCACTGCATTCATAAGGCTTTTCTCCAGTGTGAACTCTCTGATGACAGCGAAGGGCAAAGTTACTAGAAAAAGATTTCCCACATTCACCACACGCATAAGGCCTTTCTCCAGAGTGAACTCTCTGATGATAACGCAGAAGAGAGCTACTGGGAAATGATTTTGAACAATCGCTGCACTCATAAGGCCTTTCTCCAGTGTGAACTCTCTGATGATTAAAAAGGGCAGAGCTCCAAGTAAAAGATTTTCCACACTCACTGCACTCATAAGGCCTTTCTCCAGTGTGAACTCTCTGATGATTACGAAGAACAGAGCTAATTGTAAAAGATTTCCCACATTCTCCACACTCATAAGGCCTTTCTCCAGTGTGAAGTCTGTGATGGTTACGAAGGGCAGAGCTCCTGGTATAAGATTTTCCACATTCACTGCACTCATAAGGCCTTTCTCCAGTGTGAACTCTGTGATGCTTATGAAGGTTAGAGCTCCTAGTAAATGATTTCCCACATTCACTGCACTCATAAGGCCTTTCTCCAGTGTGAACTCTCTGATGTCTATGGAGGTCAGAACTACTAGTATAAGATTTACCACATTCACTACACTCATAAGGCCTTTCTCCACTGTGAACTCTCTGATGATTACGAAGAGCAGAGCTTATGGGAAAAGATTTACCACATTCACCACATTCATAAGGCCTTTCTCCAATGTGATCTCTCTGATGTCTACGGAGGGCAGAGCTCCAGGTATAAGATTTCCCGCATTCACTACACTCATAAGGCCTTTCTGGAATGTGAACTCTCTGATGGTTATGGAGGTCAGAGATATTGGTAAAAGATTTCCCACATTCACAACACACAAAGCACTGTGCTCCTGTAATGACATTCTTATCTTCAACAAGTGTGTCATGAAAGCCAAAAGCTTCCTTGCATTCTCCTGGGTTATAATAGTATTTTGTACTTGTCATTCCAGACTTTTGACAAGTCATTCCAGACTGAGAGATTTTGTTTGCCCTGTACATGGTGTCAGTATCCTGTTGCTCAAGATGTCCTGAGGTCATGGTGAAGTCTTTTCCAACCTGACTAGAGGTACAAGGATTCCATGTCATATGGGAATTGCAGCTCTTTCCAAGTGAGACAATGTCCACACTGCTTATGAAACCATTCTCTGTAGTGTCCTGTTCCTGTTGCTGGTGACTCTGTGCACTGAAATAAAACGGTTTTGCACATGCCCCACACTGCAGCAGTGTTGAGCTGGGTTGTGTTCCCTGCTGGTCAACCAGAAGGAAAATGTCTCTCAAGACCGGCGCACATCTCTCACAGGGGTGGCTCTTCTGGGAAGACGAAGCTGCCTTGGGATTCTTCGACTGTGAGACTCTGACAGAAATATTCTGCTCACTGGGTGCCTGCACATCCTCTGCTCCACAGCAGCAACCTGAACAGAAACAAATGCTGGTAAAGTAAATACTGAACTCTAAGGAAGGGGTTTTCTCATCACAGACTGTATCTGTCATATCTAGTTACGATTCCATGTGAAAAATTTCTAAGACAAGCAAGATGGACACTGAGCAAGGGGTTATTGTGCATTACTAGGCCAGTAAGGTCAATAAATAATGAGGAACTTCAGTAAACGAAAGACACTACGATAGGACGGGCCACCAGGAACAGAGGCAGGGTTTAAAGGTCATTCCACTGCAGACAGCTGCCTGCAAAAGCCTTCCTGCTGGCAATGTCAGGCTGTGTGGAGGATGTGAATGTGCCCATAACGATGAAAATCAGCCACAGCAGAGCAGATGCCGTGCAAGGTTTATATAGAGGCACGTGCACACATCATGGTGCTACAGTCATTGAGCAAAGTTGGAGAGCACACCAAAAAGACTCCTCAGAGAAATAGTTGTGGTATAGAGGTTAGAGATGCTGAAATTATCCACAGCTGGAAGTCGGAGTAGAAATGACAACTATTAAAAGTAACGAACTGGCAGTGTGCCAACACTGGAAATGGACAAGTTAATTAAAGTGTGGCCACTGGCAATGGTGACAAAATACAGTTAAACAGAATAGGTTCCTCATTATGTTTTAATAAAACCTTGGAATCAAATTCTCCTTGACTGCCATTCACCAACACCAGAGCTCCTCTGACCCCATCCTGTCATGGCTGGAATCCAGCCCCACTTGGGCTACACGAAGAACTCTTCCACTTCCCTCCAAGTAGAGCAATTACATCAAATAGTGATGATGTAACTTGTAAGAGAAAACAGAAGTGATGCATAACCAGCACTGTCGTAGCACAAGTCAAACACTCCGAAGGAAAAAGATCTACATGAGTGATGACAGCAAGATGGAAGAAGAAAAAATAGAAATATTTAACCCCCTTCAACAACGATTAGACAGTTATCCATGATAAAAAGCAGCCACTGAGGAAAAGGGCAAATGCTTAAGGCACCACTTTTTTCCAACAAACCATAAAGCGAAGCATAAAACAAAGAACTGCACAGAGGACTGCAGGAGAGACTGGGTTAACAAAGATGTTTAGATTCAGAAGAATGGTGAGAGCTTCCTCTCCAAGCCACTGTGCATATGCTACCTTGGACCTTAGTAGCCATTTTGTGAAGACCAATGCAACCTTTGCCAGGGAGAACTTCAGGATTCTCTGTAATATCTGCAAACTCTTCACAGATTTAATCTCAAAGGAACCTGTAGAGTTTGTCAGCATGGATAATCAAGAGGAATCCCCTTGCTCACAACATCACTTATGAAAGAATAACATCAGTATTTCCCCAGCAATCTTTGCCACCAAAAACTGCAGTGGAGATCGCTAAACACTTACACATCCGCTACCCTGGCCACAGGCAATGCCTACAGTTCTTACTACTCTGACCTCAGCTGATGGGCCAGCAAGGTAATGGGAAATGAAATGTGTCTTCACCTAAAACACAACATATAACCTACTAAGTACCTTTGTATCCACAGGCAGATAAAAGTATGCCTCACCCTGGCTAATCTCATCAGTGGGTTCAGCACCAGCCTGTGAACAGAAATGTTGCCCACTGAAATCCAGCTCCTGGCACAAGCCTGGATTGCAGGCAAGACCCCAAATTGGGGTGTGTGAGATGCAACCAACTGATGTTTCTCAAGCACACTGATGTTTTTCTCCCTTCCTAAACCTCTCTCAAAATAAATAAATAAATAAAGTTTTTAAAATAAAAATTGCTGCTCTAACAGACTTGGTCCATAAGGTCTTAAAAGGTAAGTGTTTCACCCAATCCTCAGACATCACACTAAGCAAAAAGAAATAAGGGGAAAAAAATCACAATTTTAAACTTAACTACCAAATAATGGAGGCATACACACTGCCAGACAAACATGCAAATAATAAGTTTTAAAAACCTCACTGAGGTACAAGAAAATACACGTGCAATTCAACATAATGAATAAACAAATATGGGAACAAAAATCATAAAAAGGAATGAAACACCTGGCTGGGTATCCCAGTGGATTGAGCACAGGCCTGCAAAGCAAAGGGTCACGGGTTGATTCCCAATCAGGGCACATGCCTGGGTTGCGGGCCAGGTCCCCAGTTAGGGGTGCATGAGAGGCAACCACACATTGATGTTTCTCTCCCTCTCTTTCTCCCTCCCTTTGCCCTCTCTAAAAATAAATAAATAAAATCTTTAAAAAAAAAGAGAGAGATAAAGTGACTACAGGGATTAAAAAAACACAAGACAAACAGAAATTGCATTTGAGATTCTGCTTTTTGGGCGTTGAGATCAGTTTGGCTCAAATAAATGCTTATAAAAATTATCATGATGGGTGAAAAGGGTGAAGAGATTAAGAACAAATAGGCAGTTACCAAATAGTCATGGGGATGTAAAGTACAGCCTTGGGAATATATTTAACAATATTCTAATAACTATGTATGGGTTCAGATGGGTGCAGGATTTATTAAGATGGTCACTTAATAAGTTACATAATGTTTAGTCATTGGGGTACACACATGAAACTAACATAATAATGTATGTCAACTTAAAATTTTTTACATTTATAAAAAATAAATAACTGAAAAATAATTTGAGGCCTGGCTGGGCTTCTTTTGTATTAAAAAAAAAACCAAAAAACACAGGACACAATACATGCTGCCTCCAACAGACTCACTGAATGTTTATGGACAAAATTAGGTGAAAGTAAGGAGATGTAAAAAATAGTCTGTACAAATAATACCAAATTGAGCAGGGGTACAGGAAATTCTATCAGACAAAAAAGACAAGTTCAAAGACTGCCACAAGACAAAAGTTCAACCTAAAATGATAAATGAGAGAATTAATTAAGAAAGTAACTATTTTAATTACTATGCACCCAACCACAGAGCACTTAAGTACATCAGGACAATATGAGATTTGAAGGCAGAAAATGCAATGTAGCAGTACTGGTCAATAAAATATTCTGCTTTCAACAATGGGTAGATCATCCTGTTCAAAAGCAATAAGGAATTATTAAACTTTGCTACCCCTTTGAGAAAACAGAACTAATAAATATTTACAAAATACTTTATCCAGCCTTGGCAGAGTGGTTCTGTTAGCAGGAGAACTGTCTGGTATAGTAAATTTGTGGATTTAATCTCAAGTCAGGGTGAGAATGGGAGGTGACTGATGGATGCTCTGATGCTTTCCTGTCACACTGATGTTTCTCTTTCTCAGTCCCTTACTCTCTCTCTCTCTTTAATAGTCAATAAGCATCCTCAGATAAATATAAGTAAATATAAATATATAATCAACAAAAAGATAAAAAATATTTTTCCTCACCTATCAGTGTGAAATCTGTTAGGCTTCTGGCAACGCTGATGACCTCAAATACTTTTCTATGAGGGCTCAGAACAGCAGGTATTGGGGTAACAAAAAGAGAAGGGGGCAGTGCAGACAAGCCAGTCCTGCCAAGTCCAGGTTCTACGCAGAAAACTGGGGAGGCTAACAGTGTACGCAGTCCACATATGAGGACAGAGCAACCTCTGAGTAATGAAGAGCACGGGAAATAAAAAGCCTAGTCCAGGTCACTGGTGAACATTAGGTCCCCTTCCCCACCTTTTGTTTGAAAGCAAGGGTTAGTTTATTAAAATGTGAGGCAATGACAGAAAAAGAAGGACCTCTGGAGACAGGATCAGGGGTAAGCTCAAGACAAGCCACTGTTGTCCATTGCTTCCTGGGTGCAAGTCGGTTCAGGACCCTTAGAGCATAGAATAGAAGAGGCAACTAGAAGCCTGAAGAAAGGGGGGTGCAGACATGCCAAAACAGAGTACGCTACAACTGAGTGTCTTACCCAGAGAAGATATAAGAGCAAAGTTCTCCAGCATCACATCAAGGTACAGGAGTCTCTGAGCCTCATCAAGGAGGCGCCATTCTGTCCTGGAGAAATACACCGTGACATCCTCAAACGTCACGACATCCTGTCAAAATTAACACAAATGAATCAGAAACAGTCTGTCTGAGAAACCCCCTAATTCTACTCCGTATAAAGTTTACCCACACCCACACCCTTCCAGGACCCTCAGTTCAGAGAAGACACCAGCCCTTGGCCTCAGTGCTGCCTCCTGTCTCATCACAGTCTCATTCAACACTCTTACTGCCTCAGCAACAGCAGCAAAAATGGGATGTGCAGCAGATAAGTAGCACCTTTGCTCCGGTCCAGACTTGAAGGTTTCCATCCCTCCTGCTCAGCAACTGCACTGAGTCTCCCAGCTTATGCCAAGACACAATCAACCACGGGCTTACGCATCACCCTTAAATCCCCACACCAGGTACCCAGGACCACCAACTCACACTTCCTCTAGCTGTGCACACCCTGTGTGACCTCTACCTCCTTTACATCTTCACACCCAGGTTCACTCCCTCAGCTCTGCCACCTCCCGCTCCACACCACAGCCATCCCTCTGAAATCACCCATGAACTTGGCATATGGCTTCCACAGGACGCTCTGATGTGTCAGAGTGGTCCACTAACGCAGGCAGAACGGAAAGAAGGCAAAAATCCTGACAGGGGCAGGAGGACTGGGAACCCGGGTCTCTCACCGGAGGCCCTACCTCTGGGCACCAACAAAGGGAAACAGTGAAAGGCAGGAAGCCCCTGCGTCAATCACGGATGGGAACTACGGGGACCCCTCCCGACCGAGGAGGCACACTCAGAACTTGACACGACAGAGCTTGGAGACGGAAGTCCCCACCCTTGGAAGCAGGTAAAATCCCCCAAATTATCTCAGCACTCGCTCTCCTCCCTCTGGCTGGCCCGAGTCCACTCAGAGGCACTGATTTTGCTTCCCTCCCAGTGGCACCCATGCTGGCTTCTTTCTTTTTTTTCTACCCGAATAAAACTTGCTTTAGTCTCACACCGATTTGCCCTTCAAACCTTCCTGGGCCAGTCAAGCACCTGAAGGTTGTTTGACAAGGGAAATTTTAGGAATGTCGAGGGCAGATCACCCCCGGCGTGTTGGAGGTTGAGTGAGACAACCGCCGTCGGCCCCTCAACCCGTCACCGCCTCCACCGCGTCACGCGATGTGTCACCCACCAGCGCCTCACGTCCCGGAGGCCGGGGCCTGGATGCAGAACTCTACGGGCGCCCCGCACCCGGGCTGCAGAGCTCGGCGGGCTGAGCACGGAAGGCCAGGGGGACGCGTACTCACCTCAGCCGGGCGCCTCTGCTCGGCCGCCGCCACCGGACTCCGTGGGCGGAGCAGGGCGGGAGCGGCGGGCCACCGGGGTGTCGCTGTTGTTGGGGCGCCTGTCACAGTCCTGGCGCCAGACACGCGAGCAGCGTCACTGTCCCTCACACCTACTGTGGTGACCCCTACACTGGCACCTTCTACGATCGACATTCTGGTCAGAAGATACTGAACACGTAATAATGAAACTGAGGGCACAGAAATGCCAGGCACTGAAAGCCACGGAAGTCCCGCCCCACAGTGGAGCGCAAAGGAAATGCTTCTCTGAGTTTTTATTGGCTCATCATCCTGCTATTAGAAGCGTGCCTTTTGGGTAATGTAGTTCTTACTCTCCAAACCGGGATCCTGTATTTCCACAGTTGTCTCTAGGAGTGTTTTGCGGACTTACACCATAGGAATATAGAGAATACTAAGTGTATTCACTGTGGCGCCCCAGTGAACATCATTTCTGGAGTGAGGAAGTTTCCAGTAGACGCGCAAAACCTTTGATTCAGGGCTTGTGACGTGTGATTTCTTCAGGCTGAACGTGGTTGAGGGGAGGTTGCTCAAGTCCTTGAAGCTATGTATTCTGCCTTAGTTGAACCTGCTTTTCAAAGTTAATATAAAAAATATCCACTGATTCTTAAGTGCATTTGTGCCTCATACAGCCAAAAGTCTTATCTCTGCCTGTGCAAAAGTGTGACTAGATTCCGCACTGATTTGATTGGATGCCTCTGACTTAAATTATCACTTGTTTTTTTTTGCAAACCATGGAGTACAAGATGAAGACATCAAAGATACGCAATTACAGGAATTCAGCACAGAAATGGCATGTATAGGTTCACACGATCCAACTGCGCATACTAATAATGCTAGTTACTCATTTGTTTGTTCCCCAGTGCATACTGCAGTCTATTAAACATGCAACAGCACTAGTACAAAAATAAAAATATACATATCATACTGTAAAAATACTTTATTGATTGCAAAAGGCAAACCATTATCTGAGCCTTCATTAAGTAGCATGCAATCTTTGTTCAAGGAGAGGGTCTTGCACTTCTGTTGACGAGAACACATCTCTCAAGCATAATAAAGCATATCTCAATAAATGGGGGTATGCACACATGGAGAAATCTGTAAATTTTACTATATAACAATCCAATTACCCAATTTTACATATGACAAGTATGTCATAAGAAAATAGGCTAAACTTTTGAAAATAAAAAAGCATAATATAAACATAAATGGGTGTCTATTTACTTGTAATCTAAATGTCAATAAATTCTTGAAAAAACTGGCAGAAATAAATTGTGAGTTATTGTAATTTTTGTTAATGTGAAAATGGTATTGTAATTACCATAACAAAAGAGAACTTGTGTGTTACAGACATAAGTATTGATTCACAGGTGACATGGTATCGCACTGTCAGTGCAATAGGTTTAGGAACATATTCAGGAATATTTTTTGACAAACCAAGACACACTTGAAAAGCCTGTCAATAAACGTTGTAAAATACAAACAGTGATACAATCAAGCACTTAAAGAAACTGCAAGCTAAAGTGTGGGGATGATGTTAGAATTCATTGAGGAGATTTTGAATTGAGCCTTCAAATGAACTGACACCTCATCTCTGCTTAGGGGACCATAGCTGTTCCCATGGTTATTATTCTCTTTAACAGGATGGACACTTAATTTGTGTTACATAGATTGAATACTAAAAAGTATACTTGTATCTCTATAATAATAATAAAATTGTATTTGACCTTGATTTATGACTAAGTGACAGGTTACTGTGAAAATGCAATGACATCAAAATAATGCTCTAAAGTCCAAGGTCACTCACAAATGCTGCTCAGTACTGCTCCCTCTGTTAAAAATGGAAAACCAATAACAGAAAGGCTTTAGAGATTCAAACCTAATCCAAGACATTCTACTGACCCCAGTGAGGGAAATGGCAGAAAAGGGTCTATTTTCAGGGAATACATGCCTGCCCCCTGGTGACTTTAAGTGAATTGTTAAGAAAATGTCATGGAAGCAGATCGCAAATATCACAAAGGATGCTCAGCACCCACCCTCTTCTCTAAAAAATCCCACAAGTTATATACTCTGCTAACTGGGCTGTGGAGGCATAGATTCAACCTGATTTGGCCAATTGGCCTATTTTGAGCAATCAGGAGAACGAATATCAGTTGTGACCAGAGTGTACTGGGCAGCTGATGAGGGTTTGTGTTCAGAAGGATCATGTTCCTACCCAACGATCCCTGGTGCAGACATTGAGACACTGGAAAGGAGGATGAAGTTGCTGGAAATGATCGTGGCTGCATGGAATACATGGTGAGCACCATTGTCTCTTCCACCCAGTCCTGGACAAAGAAAAGGATCAAGCAGGCACTGAGTTTCCTGTATGAAGAGGTGAACACTCCACCAGGGAGATAACAATACGATAGGTCTCCAGCATTACTTCTCAATATGTCCCAGGTATCACCTCCCGCTGTCCTCAAAAGGCAGTAGACAAAATGCAGCCAAGGGTCAACATCGTTTTCCCTGGAGACATCGCTGGAAATCAGAGAGGATCCCCATGAATGCTGTGAGGCAGATGTTAACCCCACTAAGACATCAGAAAAATGCAGAAAAATCGTAATTTCAACAATGAAAACAGCAGCAACACCTGAGTTTCCCATTTCAGCAGTCTTTACTGTCTCCCTGCCCTGCACTGAGGCCTTAATACACCACAAGAGAGAACATCAAGAGTTCTACCATCAGGATTCTGAGATTGAATCCAGCATTCTGGATCTGACATTTGTCTGCTCTGACCTTGGAAAAACCCCTTTCTTCCTGATCCTTCAATTCCCCAAGAAATACAGTAAGTTATTTATTAACTCACAGGATGCAGCTGAATTAAGAAAATAATCAAAAAGCAAATCCTGTCATACAAGTACCTGGAAGTGTGCACAGAATTTTATTACCTCCGTTGATTCTCAAAAGGCCCGTGGTTTGTGCCTCCATTCATTTCATGTAGTGAAGTGAGACTGGGGGAGTTTTAGGATCACCCAGAGATGCCACGCTGGGGAATCCATATGGGAAGCCCTGAAGCCACATTGTCCTAGAAGGAGTCTGTGTGGACTGCAGCTGATATGGGGGATCAGAAAAGCTTCATTTATTTTTCAGAAGCACCCAGGGCAGGTGTGAGGTGTCTGGCCTGTGCATGGCACCCACGGGAGATAACTGGTGGTATAGCTACTGCCTTTGAAATGAGCACCAAGGCCGGGATAAAAGTGGCTGTTCACCCATATTTTACACAGGAGGAAACTGAGGCCCATTAAGTGCACTATGTTCCTTTAATCATAAAAATGTTCCATAATCTTAAGATTAATCCCAAGTTGCATGGCCGAAGGTACAAGAAGTCTAAATACTGACTTCCACTCTTTGGCCTCCAGGAGGGCTTTGAGGACCAACAAATATCCATTCATCCTCTTACCACCCGGTGCACCTTCAAATGCTGCTGCAGGCACCCAACCCAGACATTAGACCATAAAAATGGGTGAACTCTAACAAGTAAGGCTTTTTATTATATTACTAAATGTATGAACTCACAAAGTTGATGAAGTATGTTAATAATGCAGGTTATTCTTTAAAGTATATAATATGTACCTATTAAACTGGGTACGATAAAAGAGAATCCCAGTGATTAGGTCATATTTTCCACTATCAAACAATTATTCCATAAACCAAAAATTATTTCTCACCCAAGGAGTCAAAGTGTATCTTTGCTGTTTCACTGTCCTATTTGTTAAAGAGCCCAAAGTCCTGAAAGAATAGGTAAGTGGGTAAGCACACATTTAACATTTCACTAAAAACACATCAGTAGTACATATACTCCTACAAAATGCTCGTCATGATTCCTTATGGAAATGCAACTAAAACGAGACTGTATACAACATATAAAATCAGGAAGAGCTAAAATTAATAAAAAATGAACATATCAATATTTTGTTCAATTTTATATGTTCAATTCTATATGTTCAGCTATGGTGGGGAAATGCAACCCTCATGCACTGAGTAAAAAGGTGTAAAAAGCCCTAACCAGTGTGGCTCAGTTGGTTGGAGCATTATCCAAAGTTGAAAGGTTGCCGTTTTGCCTCCTGGTGAGGGCACATAAGTTGGTTGGAACTGCAATCCTCAGTCCAGGTACTGCAGCATCCACCAATGCGAGCAACAAATGGAAACTTTCAGGAGTTTAAGATGGAACTTTATTGGCCAAAGTTTTACCTGCACAGGGGTGAACTCTCAAGGTGTCTGGAGACACGGTGCCAAAATGGCTGCAAATGAGAGTCGTGCCTGGCGCTTACAGCCTAGGGTTTTTATTGGGGTGAGCAAGCAAGCAAGCAAGCAAGCAAGCCAATACAGAAGCAGACGTAGCTGTTAGCAATTGGCTATCTGGAGAGAACACACATAGCTATGCTCTCTGCTTGCAACAATGGATACTTCTCTGCAAAGACAAGGTCATGCACAGGCGGTTTATCTTGTTCAGCACTCCTTGTACTTTCTGTACTTTTCTATCTTCCTTGCTGAGACAGTCTGGAGCCGGCCTGGGGTTCCTCTTGGCTACTTTTATCTAATTCTGGGCCCGGGCCTAACAGTACATGTGATTCCTGATCCAGGCAGGCAACAAATCAGTGTTTCTCTCCCTTCCTGTCTGCAAAAGTAGTGAAATAAGATATCCTTGGGTAAGGACAAAAAAAATAAATAAAGGTCCAAAGTGTGCATAAAGTCACAATCAGTTTAATAACACCTCGAAACATTCTACATAACATAAACATTGAACTTATGAACAGTTCTGCATTGAGAATATTGGTAAAAAAAATAAAGTCACCTTTTCCTCAGCAAGGTTCCTTCAGTGTCATTATACTGAAAAAAATAAAACATTTCCTAAATTCGATCCATTTACAGTGAGAACTCTCCTATGTCAAAAGGTATAGATTTATTGGTAAAGGTTTCCTATATTCACTTCACACTCAAAGCCTTTAACCAGCGTAAAGTGTGTTTAAGATGGTGATGACTGTGAGATAAGAGATTTCCCACCTTTTATGTCCATATAAGGCCTATCTGCAGTGTGAACTCCCTAATAACAGGAGTAAGGATAGAAGAAGCATTTCCCATGTCCACTGTATTCAAAAGGCCTTATACCAGAGTAAAACTTCTGAATATAATGGAGCTTAGTACTAAAGAAAAAAATTTCTTATATTGCCTGCACATATAAATCCTTTTTCCTATGTCAGCTCTCAGAAGATACAAAAGAAAGGACTAGAAAATAAGAGATTTCTTGAATTTCCTTAACTTATAAGAACTTAAACATTGTGAACTCTTTGAGGACAATGACAGCCACGGCTCCTGGTAAAGGATTATCCACACTGACTGCAGGCATTAGGCCATTCTCCTGGCTGAACTATTTGATGATAATAAAGATTTCTGATAAAAAAAATTTTCATATTCCTTGCAGCCACAGGCCAATTAACTAAGTAAACTCTCTGATGACAACGAAATAATGTTACAGATGTTTTCTAATATTCACTGCACTCACAAGGCTTTTGTGTGAACTCTGTGATGCTAATAAAAGGTGATACCCACAGGTAAATGATTTCCCACATTCACCACACTCATAAGGCCTTTCTCCAGTGTGAACTCTCTGATGATAACGGAGGGCAGAGCTACTGGTAAAAGATTTCTTACATTCACCACACTCATAAGGCCTTTCCCCAGTATGAATTCTCTGATGATAATAGAGGGCAGAACTACTGAAATAAGATTTCCCACATTCACTGCATTCATAAGGCCTTTCTCCAGTGTGAACTCTGTAATGTTTTCTGAGGTCAGAACTACTGCTAAAAGATTTCCCACAATCACCACACTGAAAAGGCCTTTCACCAGTGTGAACTCTGTGATGTTTACGGAGGGCAGAATTACTAGTAAAAGATTTGCCACATACACCACATTCATAAGGCCTTTCTCCACTATGAACTTTCCGATGATTATACAGGGCAGAGCTACTGATATACGATTTACCACATTCACTGCATTCATAAGGCCTTTCTCCAGTGTGAACTCTATGATGTTTACGGAGGGCAGAGCTATTCGTGAAAGATTTCCCACATTCACTGCACTCATAAGGCCTTTCCCCTTTGTGAACTCTCTGATGATAACACAGGGCAGAACTACTAGTAAAAGATTTCCCACATTCACCACACTCATAAGGTCTTTCTCCAGTGTGAACTCTCTGATGTTTACGGAGGTCAGAGCTCCAGGTAAAAGATTTCCCACATACGTGGCACTCATAAGGCCTTTCTCCAGTGTGAACTCTCTGATGATAAAGGAGGTCAGAACTACTGGTAAAACATTTCCCACATGCACCACATTCATATGGCCTTTCTCCAGTGTGAACTCTCTGGTGTTTATGGAGGGCAGAGCTACTGGTAAAAGATTTCCCACATTCAGCGCACTCATAAGGCCTTTCTCCAGTGTGAACTCTGTGATGTTTCCGAAGGGCAGAGCCACTAGTGAAAGATTTCCTACATTCGCTGCACTCATATGGCTTTTCCCCAGTGTGAACTTTCTGATGATAACGAAGACCAGAGATTCCTAGAAAACATTTTTCACATTCACGGCACGCATAACATCGTCTTCCAGTTTGGACAGCCTCGTCTAGAAGTGGTGAGTGTTTGCAGACAATGGCTTTCTTACATTCTTTTCTTGTGTGATAAATATTTCTCCTTTGAAAATCCTCCCCGAATGTTGACATTTCATTTGCTCTTTCCCTGGTGTTAATAGTTGGTTGTTGGATATTTCCTGAGTTTGTAGAAGCGTTCTGCTCAAGCTCCCAGAAAATAAAAGTTTTTTCGGACACGTTGAAATTGCGGCCCTTCACAAGCGAGGCCCTGTCCACACCTCGTACTAAAGACTTCTGTCTCAAGTGCTCCTCCTGGTGCTGGTGATGCTTGGCAATGAAACAAAATTCTTTTGCGCATGCCCCACACCTCAGCAGTTTCTCTCTCTGTTCAGTTCCCTGCTGGTCAGCCAAGAGAAAAATTTTCCTCAAGACACACCCACAACTGTCACAGGGGTGGCTCTTCTTGGAAGACAAAGCTGCCTTGGGATCCTCTGCCTGCAACACTCTTACGGAAACGCTCTGGTCAGTGGGAGCCTCCACATCCGCTGCTCCACAGCAGCAACCTGAACAAAAACAAACACTGGTGAACTTGAAGTTAACTTAAAAGAAAAAGAATATTCCCAACACAATGTCCCTTTTGCAAAGCTAGACATGATTCTGTGGACTGATTTTCAAGACAAAGAGTTAGATTCTGTGGTAATGTCTGTTATTATTAGTTGGCCCCAGAGGTCAGTATGTAGTGGAGACCTCGCCAAAAATGATACAACCACAGAATGAACAACAAAGAAGACAGGCAGGGCCTACTAGCTGTTTCTCCACAAATGGCTTCCTTGAAGGGTCTTTTCTTCTGGTAATGGGAGGCTGTGCAGAAGAAGCTGAATATGCCCAATCACATGAAAATCAATTGTATCACAGCACATGATGGTCAGGGTCAAAGTAACAATATGTGAACCCTGACTGATGTGAATGGTTCATTTGGAGCATTGACCTGTAAACTACAAGTCCGCAGGTTTGATTCCTCCTCAGGGAACATACCTAGCCTGTGGGCTCAATCCCTGTCAGCAGTAATGGTGCATGAGAGAGGCAACCGACTGATGTTTCTCTCTCACATCTCTCTCTCTGTATCTTTTCTTCCTCTTTCTATAACCAATAAACATATCCATCAAAAATATAATGCTCAAAGACAGAAGAATATGTGCACACTGTGAGGCTCTGCGGACATGAATCAAGTTTGGAAGGTAGTAAGGAGAGATGTGTGAATGAAATGGTTGAGATGAAGGGTTCAGAAAATCAGAGATTTTTCACAGGTTGTGAATCCTAGGACAAATGATAACTATTAGAACTGAGTGGTTGGAAAAGTATCAACAATAAGGACAAGAAGACTAATCTGTGGTAGATTAATTAGATTAAGAACGATAGCAACATGCTGTTAAATAAATGGGTTCCTAGTTATAACTTTAATAAAGCCCAGGCATCAAGCCCTCACAAATTGCCATTCATGACGTCAGCACCCCTCCTGAGCCCACACAGCCATACATGGAGTCATGCCCCTCCTGTGATTCTGAAAACACTTTCCCCCTTAACTCTCAGTTGAGCCATTCATGGGACTCAGAACAAAAAATCCTAAGAAAGACACTAAAGAGATGGACTGTAAGCGACTATAGCAGAACAAGACAGCACAAAACAGACCCAGCAAAATGGTCTTTGTGAGCGATATTAGCAAATAGCAGAATACAAGAGAGGAGAATTTCTCCACATCCCATAAGCAGGTACACCGCTATCCTGGAACAAAAACAGTCTTGGAGGAAGATAATAAGATTTTCGTTAAGGCAAATAGCAAAGTGGAAAAGCCAAAAATGGAGAACGACTCAGAAATATTGAATGAAAATACTGGCAGAGCAAAACCATGTACCGATAGTGAAGCACAGAAGACAAGGTCAAAGTTCCCGCTGTCAGCCACCATGCAAGCCCTAAGCAACTTTGTTATTTGGAACCACAGGAGTCCCTGGAACATGAAACAAAAACGTGAGAAAAGGAAAAATTAGGTAGGAAGCTTATAGAAATATATCCTGAAGACTGACTTCCCAAATCTAAGAAGACATGAGAATAATCATGACTGTGTTTTCTCACTGGTCCCTGTGCAATTTAGTAGAAGTGGGACCTCACCAAGGCACATCATATTAAAAATGTCAAAAATGTAAAAAAATTTTTGAAAGCACAAAAAGAAGAGAAACATTTCTCACAGAAACAATGCATCCATCATGTTATAAAGAAAATATCCCCAAGAAAAAGTTGAAGACTAGAGAACACTCAAGTGAATTATTGAAAACCCTAAATGAAATAAAATCTTCAAACCAACAGTATTTACTGAGAAAAACTGTTCTGCAGAAATAAGAAAGACATTCCCAAACAAAAGCTGAGGAGTTCATTGTCACTCAACATGACTTGTTAAAATTACAAAAGAAGTTCTTCAAGGTGAAATGAAAGAATACTTAATAGAAACATGAATACATAAAAGATATAAAACTCACTGCTAAATCTGATAATGGAATCAAATTTACAATATTTTAACACTGCATTGGTGGAATGTACATTACTAAACATTATTGTAAATGTGAAAAATTAAAGCCAGGACTTCTGCCAAGATAGAGGAGTAGGTGGAAACATTGTACCTTCTCACACAACCAAGTTTAAAATTACAAAGTTTTAGCAACAAAAAACGCAGCCAAACCACAGAAAATTGAACTATATGGAAGTCCGACAACAATGAACCATTCAGCCAGACTGGTAAGAGGGTGGAGCCAGCAGCGGAGCAGGTTGGGCAAAAAAGATCCCCTGACCCAGGCACCCAGGCACTCGGGCGCCCAGGCGCCCAGGCAGCCGACTACGGATCCCAGGTGTGCAGTAGCAATGGGTGGACCCAGTGAAGGTACAAGGCTGCTGGCTGACCAAGGTCACACATTTGCTTGCAGATAAACCAGCAAAGGAGCAAGCAGTGAGACAGACTGCGCAGGCCCCAGCAGGGGGAAGCAGCAGAGGGGACTGCTATTGCTTCTTCTCTGACCCTGTGTCACAACCCAGCGAACTGGGTAGCCCCACCCTGCTGAACACCTAAGGCTCCTCTCCTCATAAGTAACAGGCTTGAACAGACCAAAACATCGCTCAAGAAGAACTTAAAGCCCCGGAGACAATAACTCTAAGCGACCAAGAAATAGCCAAACTTTCAGATGCACAGCTCAAAACACTGGTGATCAGGATGCTCACAGAACTGGTTGATTTTAGTTACAAATTACATTAAAAAAAATGAAGGAAAAACTAATTGAAATGAAGGGAAATGCACAGGAAAACAATAGTGATGAAAAGGAAACTGGGACTCAAATCAAGGGAGTGGACGAGAAGGAAGAAAAAATGACCAAAAAGAAAAATATGAAGAAACAAGAATTCAAATAAATTAGGAGAGGTTTAGGAACCTCCAGGACACCTTTAAAGGTTCCAACATCAGAATTATCGGGGTACCAGAAGGGGAAGAGGAAAAGTGACAACTGGAAAACTTATTTGAACAAACAATGAAGAAAAATGTCCCTAATCTGGCAAAGGCAATAGACTTCCAGGAAATCCAGGAAGCTCAGAGAGTCCCAAAGAAGTTGGACCCAAGAAGGAACACACCAAGGCACATCATCATTACATTAGCCAAGATTAAAATGAAGGAGAGAATCCTAGAAGCAGCAAGAGCTAAGGGGAAAGTCACCAACAAAGGACTTCCCATCAGACTGTCAGCTGATTTCTCAAAAGACACCTTACAGGCAAGAAGGGGCTGGAAAGAGGTATTCCAAGTCATGAAATCCAAAGACCTACCTCCAAGATTGCTCTATCCAGCAAAGCTTACTTTTAGAATGGAAGGGCAGACAAAGTGCTTCTCAGATAACATCAAATTCAAGGAGTTCATCATCACCAAGCCCCTATTATATGAAATATTAAAGGGACTTATCTAAGAAAAAGAAGATAAAAAAGATGGAACAGTGAAAGGACAGCAAGCTCACAATTATTAACAACCACACCTAAAACAAAAGCAAACAAAGAGGATAGCTAGATTAGGAGTGGAACCATAGAAATGGAGGTCACATGGAGCGTTAGCAAGAGGGGAGTGGGAGGAGGAGAAGGGGGGAGAAGGTACAGAGAATAAGTAGCATGGACAGTAGGTAAAAAATAGATAGGGGGAGGGCAAGAATAGTATGGGAAATATAGAACCTAAAGAACTTGAGGCACATGGACATAAACTAAAGGGTGGAGGGGATGGTGGGGGAAGGGTGTGCCGGGTGGAGGGGAATGAAGGGGGGAAAATAAAACTACTGTAATGGCATAATCAATAAAATATGTTTTAAAAAACCTACATAACTTAGTTCAAAGTAGTATATTGCTGAAAATTGCTAACCAGTATTTCAGCCTGCTATTAAAATGGCAGCAGTACATTTGCTCACTGAAGTGTTTCCTAAAATATTGAATTTAAAAAAAAACACAATATCTGCAAAGTACAATAAAGCAAAGTACAAAAAGACATGCTCTGATCAGATGAGAAATTTATAAAATATACAAGGTATTGAAAAGACTCATTGGCTCACCCTGCCTGTAGCTCAGTTGGTTAGGGCAAATGTTCCGATACTCAAAGGATCGGGGGCCCATGCTCAGAACACACAAGAATCAACCATAAATAAGTAGAACAACAAATCAATGTTTCTATCTCTTCAAAAAGAGATACATATTAAAAAAAAACCCTAGTCATTAGCTTGAAAACACAGTGAAAAGCACGACTAGAAGTGTAGAGACATTTTTGCAGAAGTATGTACAAATGACCAACAGGAATACAAAAAACGCATTTCCTCATTAATCAAGATGGAACCTGATTCCCTGCAAGACCTCCAACCACAAATGCTTCCCTATGAGGTTTCAGTACAGGAGGTACTGGGGCTGCAGGGAGAGAAGAGGGCAGCCTGACAAGGCCAGGATCTGCCTAGAAAACTGTGAAGCAAGCAGTACCCACCGTCCTCACATGTGGACTGAGCGCACCCTAGGGAACAGAGGGCACGGGGAACATGCAAACCCTGCTCATGGTCACCGGTCACCGGGAGAGAGTGAGGGTCTTACCCAGCGAGGATATAAGAGCAAAATTCTCCAGCATCACATGGAGGTACAGGCGCCTCTCAGCCGCATTAAGGAGGCTCCATTCTGTCCTGGAGAAATACACGGCAACATCCTCAAAGGTCACCCTAACCTGTCAGAATGGACACAAATGAATCCAGGACAGTCTATACAAAACTCCCCCACATTCGACCTGCCCCCACTTCAGCGTGGATGACCCCTCTAAGTCCCGGTAAGGACGCGCCTCGGACTCAGACTGCTGAATGCAGACACAGCAAGGACCCCAGGTTCCCGGGTCCTCCTGGCCCAGGTACCTCTGCACCTGTTCACAGGGCTGGCCACCCTTCCATAACCCGCCAGACTCTCGCTGGGTCCGATGCCCCGCACCCGGGCCCCATTGCTCAGTGGTGTGAGGGAGGGGCCCGGGGACGCCACTCACCTCAGCCAGGTGCCTCCACATGGCCTCCGCCATCGGACTCTGTGGGCAGTGAGGGGCCCCAGTGGCACGCAAGGCGGGTGTCCCTGCTAGAGCGAGCTCCTGTCTCCGCCCTGGCGCCTCGCTCCCCTGCAGCATCACCTGGCATCATACATGCTGCGGTGACCATTACTCTCCCACCTTCTCCACTGGATTTTGAGATCCAAGATCCTAACTTTGTTCTAACACACACCTGGGAGAAGAGGAAATGCCCGCCACTGAGGACCTGAGTCCCGTCCTGTCCAAACGGAAATGCCTTTACTGAGTGTTCATTGGCTCATGGTCCTGGTATTCCTCGTCTGCCTTCTGGGTAGTGTAGTTCCTGCACTCCAAGACTGGGGTGCTGTATTTCCCCCCTGACTCCAGGAGTGGAGTTACAGATCCCAAGAATATTCTCTGAATACTAAATGCGCTCTGTCGCCCCCCAGTGGGCATCACTTCTTGGGCGAGGTAGTCTTTGGTGTGCCTGCAAGGCTCCCTGCCGTGCCGTCCCCTTATTTCAAAATGCTGGTTTTCAAAATCTTTCTTAAGGATCTGCACCACTTTCTGATCTTCAGGCATCCTGTGTCCACTTGAGCCCATCTAGCATGTGGCTCCTTCAAGCAGAAGGTGGTTGGGGGAGGTTACGCCAGTCCCTAATGCTACCGTCCCCACCTCAGTTGGACCCACTATGCAAAGTGAATGCAATAAAACATACACTGATACTGAAGTGCATCTGTGTCTGATGCAGTGAGAAGTCTGAGCTCTGCCTGAAAAGCTCTGTGACTACAGTCCACCCTGATTTCATCGTGTGTCTCCGACTTAAATTATACACTTTTTGCAAATAATGGAGCACATGTTGAAGACATCAAAGACATGCAATTATACAAATTCAGCCCAGAAATTTCATGTAAACTTCCAGACCAAAAACTAAATATGCCAATAAAGCTTTCACACTCATTTCTTGGTTCCTTAACGCATAATATAGTCTGTTAAATGTGCAATAACACTATGTAAAAAAATAACAATATATACCTTAATGTTATCATATTTGACTCTGCTCACTGTTGTAGCTCAGTGGATTGAGCACCAGCTTGCAAACCACAGTCACTGGTTCGATTACCAGTCAGGACACATGCCTGTGTTGTGAGCTAGATTCCCTGGTGCAGGCCACTGGGTCACGCAAGAGCCAAACACACGTTGATGTTTCTTCCCCTCTCTTTCTCCCTCCCTTACCCTCTCTCTAAAAATAAATAAATAAATAAATAAATAAATAAATAAATAAATAAATATTCAAAATACTATGCTGATTAATAACACAAACTGTTACTTACGTCTTCATGTACTTGAATGCAATCCTTCTGTAGGTGGAGTGTCTTGCCTTCCTCTTGATGCCAGTGCATTATTTATTTTCTTGTTTAAAACATATTTTATTGATTATGCCACTACAGTTGTCCCATTTCCCCTTCATTCCTGTCCACTCCGCACAACCCTCCCCCACATTCCCCCCTTTAGTTTATGTCCATGTGTCACAAGGTACTTAGATTCTATATTTCCCATACTATTCTTGCCCTCCCCCTATCTATTTTCTACTTACCTTCTCCCCCCTTCTCTTCCTCCCACTCCCCTGTTACTAACCCTCCATGTGATCTTCATTTCTATGGTTCTGCTCCTGATCTAGCTGTCCTCTTAGTTTGCTTTTGTTTTAGGTGTGGTTGTCAATAACTGGGCCCTTGCTCTCCTTTCACTGTTCATATTTTTTATCTTCTTTTTCTTAGGTAAGTCCCTTTAACATTTCATACAGTAAGGGCTTGGTGAAGATGAACTCCTTGAACTTGACCTTATCTGAGAAGCACTTTATCTGCCCTTCCATTCTAAATGAAAGCTTTGATGGATGGAGCAATCTTGGATGTAGGTCTTTGAATTTCATGACTTGGAATACTTCTTCCCAGCCTCTTCTTGCCTGTAAGGTGTCTTTTGAGAAATCAGCTGACAGTCTGATGGGAAGTCCTTTGTTGGTGACTTTCCCCTTATATCTTTCTGCTTCTAGGATTCTCTCCATTTTAATCTTGGCTAATGTAATGATGATATGCCTTGGTGTGTTTCTTCTTGGGTCCAACTTCTTTGGGACTCTCTGAGCTTCCTGTATTTCCTGGAAGTCTATTTCCTTTGCCAGATTGGGGAAGTTCTCCTTTAGTATTTGTTCAAATAAGTGTTCCACTTTTCGCTCTTCCTCTTCTTCTGGTACCCTATAATTCAGATGTTGGAACGTTTAAAGATGTCCTGGAGGTTCCTAAGCCTCTCCTCATTTTTCTGAATTCTTGCTTCTTCACTCTTTTCTGTTTGGCCATTATTTGCTTTCTTCTGGTCCACTCCATTGATTTGAGTCTCAGTTTCCTTTTCATTGCTATTGGTTTCCTGTGTAATTCCATTCATTTCAATTAGTTTCGCCTTCATATGTTTGTCTAATTTGTGGCTATAATCAACCAGTTCTGTGAGCATCCTGATCACCAGTGTTTTGAGCTGTGCATCTGAAAGTTTGGCTATTTCTTCGTCGCTTAGAATTATGGGCTCTGGGGCTTTGAGTTCTTCTTGAGCCAAAATGTTGTGCTCTGTTCGCACCTGTTACTTATGAGGAGTGGAGACTTAGGTGTTCACCAGGGCGGGGCCACCCAGGTTACTGGCTTGTGATGCTGTATGTGGAGGTGGGGCCAAAGGGGGGCAATGGAGGTCCCCTCTGCTGCTTCCCCGTGCTGGGGCCTGGGAGGTCCGTCTCACTGCTCACTCCAATGCTGGTTTATCTGTGCGCAACTGTGTGACCTCGGTCAGCCTGCTGCCTTGCGCCCTCAGTGGGTCCGCGCATTTACTCCACACCTGGTATTCGCCCTTGGCTGCCTGTGTGCCTGGGTTGGTCCGGTGGATCTTTCCTGTCTGACCCCACTCCGCTGCTGGCTTTGCCCCTCTTACTGATCTGGCTGAAAGGTTTGTTATTGTCAGCCTTTGATATAGGTCACTTTTCTATGTTTGGCTGCATTTTTGTTGCTAAAACTTTGTTGTTTTTAAACATGGTTGTGCGAGAAGGTACAGTGTTTCCACCTATGCCTCCGTCTTGGCAGAAGTCCAGCCCTTATGCAATTTTCAATGACTTTCAGAATATGCAATACCAGACATTCAGCAATGAAGATGTCAGCTCACAAAGGATGCATGCTGGTTGTCTGCCACATACCAACATAGAGGGGCCATGCCTTAGCACCCCTCTGTTTTGCAATGAAGTCAATATACTTATGTCCACAAGGAGAATGAAACCGTTTTCAGCTGGTTCTGACATCACATTACAGAGAAGACAGCCTACCAGATGAATCAGATACTTTCACAGCAGAACCTAAGCCAAGACAAAGATTCAAAATACAGAGAGCAGTTGAACCTGAACATAGTGCCTAAAGCACCAAGGAAACACACGTCAGTAGAAAAAAAATCCAGGAACATTTGAAGGAGAAAAGATGGAACCAAACGTAACAAACATCATGAGACTCTGAAGTTCATTGAAACGGGAAGCTGAAAGAGAAATGAACTTACCTCCACTAATGAGGATGTTCTTCTTGGAAGTGTCTGAGCCACAAGACATCCAGTGATGTGTGACCCTAGAATACTATGATAAAACCTTTCACTGCATCCCCATGAAATGCCATAAGCTGACAAGCCACAGGGGAGCATCAGGACCATTTTCCACATACTCACCACCACAGACAACCCTGTTGTCTGAAAGCTCGTGAACATCTAGGACAATGTGTTGGCCATCAACACAAATTGGCCACACTCATGAGGTGTACCTGCTCCCTTTTTCCTGGAACACTATCATTCAGAGAGTTGGGCCCAAGATCATGTTTCACCAGAGGCACAGATCTGATGAGGAACTCCTCACAGTGAGTGGGAGAGCCAACGATCCTCTCCTGGTAAAGGTAATTCAATCAATTTACAGAAAACAATCTGGCCATGGAGTCAACCTACTGACCATAGCTACCCTTAGACTAAGGTGAGCCTCTGGAGATGAGATAATTCGTAAACAGTTGTCTGAGAAATGAAACACGATGTCATGGCTTTCCTCAACTCTTCTAAATATCCTAGCTCACAACTTACTCTATCTGACTAACCTATTTCTCAAGTTCTCATGTATTCTTACTAAGTGATCATTCTCATAAATCTTGTAGCCATCTGACAAAATCCATAGTTCAAGCTAATCTCTCAGCCCAGGCCAGAGAGCTCAGCAGGTTAGAGCACCATCCCATGATATGCCAAGGTTGTGGGTTCAATCTTTGATCAGTGCATCTGCAAGAATCAACCAAAGACTTCATAAATTAGTGTAACAACAAATTCCTGTTTCTCTCTATCTCACCCTATGCCTTCTCTCTTTCTAAAATCAAAAAATAATATTCGCTCCTGGCTGGTGTGGCATCAGTGGATGGAGTTCTGGCTTGGTCACCTGTGTTTGATTCCTAGTCAGAGCACGTGCCTGGGTTCCCCGCGGCATAAGGTAGTCTATTAAATATGCAACATTACTAGCACTAAAATGAAAACATACATACCATACTGTAAAAATACTTTATTGATTATGAAAGGAAAACCACTAACTGAGTCTTTGTTAAGTTGTAAGCAATCATTTTGCAGGTAGAGGGTCTTGCGTTCCTATTGAAGAGAACACATTATCTCTCAAGCTCAGTAAAGCACATCTCAGTAAGGGGTGGGTGTGCACACATGGGAAAGTCTGAGAAATTTTACTACATTAATCACCCAGTAATCCAATAATACGAAATACAAGTATGGCATAAGAATATAGGATACAATTTTGAGAATAAAAAAAAATGCATAATATAAACTTAAATGGGTGTCTACTTAGTTGTAATGTAAATGTCAATAAAGAAAATTGTTGAAAAAACTGACAGAAATAATTGTCACAAAGTTACTGAAATTTTTGTTAATGTGAAAATTGTATTGTAATTATCATAACAAAGGAGAAATTGTGAGTTACAGACATAATTACTGATTCATAGGTGACATGGTAAGTGTGACATTGTCAATGCAATAGGTTTAGGAACATATTGAGGAATTATATTTCATGAGACACCAAGACACACTTGAAAAACCTGATAATAAATGGTTCTACAATACAAATAACGATACAGTCAAGCACTTAAAGGAACTTCAAGCTAAAGGGTGGGGAGGATGTTAGAATTCAATAAGACGACTTTGAACTGAGCCTGCAAATGACCTGACACCTCATCTCTGCCTAGGGGACCATAGCTGTTCCCATGGTTATTATTCTCTTTAACATGATGGAAACTTCATTCTTACTATATAGATTGGATACTAAAAAGTGTACTTATATCTCTATAAAAATGGGGAAAATCACCTTGACTTATGATTAATGATAGGTTACCATGAAAATGCAATGACATCAAAATAATGCTCTAAAGTTCTAGATCACTCCCTGCTCAGCACTGCTCCATGTTAAAAATTGAAAATCAGTACCACAAGGGCTTTAGACATTCAACTCTAATCCAGGACATTCTACTGACAGCAGTGAGGAGGAAAAATACAGAACTAGAGGCAATTTTCAGGGTGTACATGCATGCCACCTGGTGACTTTAAATGGATTGTTAAGAAGATGTCATGGAAGCGGATTGCAAATATTATGAAGAATGCTCAGTGCTGATCTTCTTTTCTTCTCTGAAAAATCCCTAGAGCTATATAACTCTGCTAACTGGGCATGGAGGCATAGATTCAACCTGATTTGGCCAATTGGCCCATGTCAAGAAATCAGGAATAAGAATCTCGGTTATGACTAGAGTGCACTAGGCAGTGATGAGGGTTCTGATCCTACCACAAGGATCACATTGCTACCCAAGGATCTCTGGTGTAGACACTGAGACACTGGAAAGGAGGATGAAGCTGCTGGAAATGGTCATGGCTGCATGGAATACATGGTGAGCACCACCCTTGCCTCTTCCAGACAGTCCTGGACAGAGTAAAGGATCAAGTGGGCACTGAGTTTCCTGTATGAAGAGGTGAACACTCCACCAGGGAGATAACAATACTATAGGTCTCCAGCATCACTTCGCAATATGTCCCAGGTATCACCTCCCACTGTCCTCAAAAGCCAATTGACAAAATGCAGCCAAGGCTCAACATTGTTTTCCCTGGAGACATCACTGGAAATCAGATAGGATTTATGATCAGTCCTGAATGCTGTGAGGCAGATATTAACCCCACTAAGACATCAGAAAAATACAGATCAATCCTAATTACTATGAAAACAGCAGCAACAGCTGAGTTTCCCATATCAGCAGTCTTTGCTGTCTCCCTGCCCTGCACTGAGGCCTTAATACACCACAATAGACAGCATGCCCACTACACCACCATAGTTATGAGTTTGAAACCAGCATTTTGGATCTGACAGTTGTCTGCTCTGACCTTGGAAAAACCTTCTTCCTGATCTTTCATTTCCCCCAAAATATAATAAGTTATTAACTCACAGGAGGCACTTGAATTAAGGAGGAAATAATCAAACAGCCAATCCTGTTATACAAGTACCTGGAAGTGTGCACAGAATTTCATTACCTCCATTGATTCTCAAAAGGCCCGTGGTTTGTGCCTCCATTCATTTCATGTAGTGAAGTGAGACTGGGGGAGTTTTAGGATCACCCAGAGATGCCACACTGGGGAATCCATATGGGAAGCCCTGAAGCCACATTGTCCTAGAAGAAGGAGTCTGTGTGGACTGCAGCTGATATGGGGGATCAGAGAGCTTCATTTATTTTTCACAAGCACCCGGGGCAAGTCTGAGGTGTCTGGCCTGTGCATGGCACCCACGGGAGATAACTGGTGGTATAGCTACTGCCTTTGAAATGAGCACCAAGGCTGGGATAAAAGCGGCTGTTCACCCATATTTTACACAGGAGGAAACTGAGGCCCATTAAGTGCACTATGTTCCTTTAATCATAAAAATGTTCCATAATCTTAAGATTAATCCCAAATTGCATGGCCGAAGGTACAAGAAGTCTCAATACTGACTTCCACTCTTTGGCCTCCAGGAGGACTTTGAGGATCAACAAATATTTATTCATCCTCTTACCACCCAGTGCACCTTCAAATGCTGCTGCAGGCGGCCAACCCCAGACATTAGACCATAAAAATGGGTGAACTCTAACAAGGAAGGCTTTTTATTATATTACTAAATGTATGAACTTATAAAGTTGATGAAGTAGGTTAATAATGCAGGTTATTCTTTAAAGTATATAATATGTCCCTATTACACTGGGTATGATAAAAGAAAATCCCAACCATTAGGTCATATTTGCCACTATTAAAAACAATTATTCCATAAACCAAAAATCACTGCTCATTCAAGGAGTCAAACTCGGTGACATTTCAACATGTATCTTTGCTGTTTCACTGCCCTATTTGTTAAAGGAGTAGAGCCCAGAATCCTGAAAGAACAGGTAAGTGGGTGAGCACACATTTAACTACGTTTAACTAAAAACACAACAGTAGTACATATACTCCTGAAAAACGTTCATCATGAATCATTACAGAAATGCAACTAAAACAAGAGCGCACACAAACTCAGGAAGAGCTAAAATTAACAACACTAGTACAAATCAATATTTTGCTATGGTGGGGAAATGCAACCCTCATATACAATGAGTAAAAATGCATAAAGAGCCCTAGTCCCTTTATGGTTAGAGCATAATCCAAAGGTGAAAGGCTGCAGGTTTGCCTCCTGGTCAGAGCACATAAGTAGGTTAGGAATGAGAACCCTGATTGTAGCATGTAACCAATTAATTATTCTCTCTCTTCCTGTCTCTGTAAAAGCAGGTAAAATAAAATGTCCTGGGGTGTAGATTAAAAAAAAAAAAAGGTCCCAAAATGGTACATAAAGACACAGTTCAATAATACTTTGTGAGGTCCTGCGAAACATAAACATTAAACTTATGACACAGGCCCACACTGAGAACACCAGTAAAACATTAAAGTCAGATGTTTCCTCAGCAAGTTGACTTCAGTGTCATTATACTGAAAAAAAAAAACCAAAAACAGAACATTTCCTAAAATCTATCCATTTACAGTGAGAACTCTCCAAGGTCAAAAAGGTATACATTTGTTGGTAAAAATTTCCTATATTCACTTCACACTCAAAGCCTTTAACCAGTGTGAAGTGTGTTTAAGGTGGTGATAACTATGAGGTAAGGATTTCCCACCTTTTATGTCCACAAAGTCCTATCTCCAGTGTGAACTCTCTGAAAACAGGAGTAAAGATAGAAGTATAATTTCCCATGTCCACTGTACTCAAAAGGCCTTTTACCAGAGTGAAATCTCTGAATAGAATGGAGCTTAGTACCACAATAATAAAAAGTCCTCATATTGCCTGCATATATAAATCCTTTTTCTTGTGTCACCTCTCAGAAGATAGCGGAAGAAATGGCTAGAAAATAAAAGATTTCCCAAATTTCCTTAACTAATAAGAATTTAGTCATCGAGACCCAAGGTCAGTGACAGCCATGGCTACCAGTAAAATATTTTCCACATTCACTGGAGGCATAAGGTCATGCCCTGGGTGAACTTTCTGATGATAACAAAGATTACTGATAAAGAAAAAATTTCACATTCCCTGCAGCCATAAGGCTATTTTACTAAGTGAACACTCTGATGACAATGAGTTTAATGTTATGTTTTCTACATTCACTGCACTCATAGGCTTTTCTTTTGTGTGAACCCTCTGATGCTAACAGAGGTGGCAGCTATAGGTGAAGGATTTCCCACACTCACTGCACTAATAAGGCCTTTCTCCAGTGTAAACTATGTGATGTGTACATAGGTCAGAGCTACTGGTAAAAGATTTCCCATATTTAGCAAACTGAAAGGGCCTTTCTTAAGTATGAACTCTGTGATGTTTATGAAGGGCAGAACTACTAGCAAAAGATTTCCCACATTCAAAACATTCATAAGGCCTTTCTCCAGTATGAACTTTCCAATGATTTTGCAGGCCAGACCCACTGACGTAGGATTTCCCACACTCACCACACTCATAAGGCCTTTCTCCAGTGTGAACTCTTTGGTGTATACGGAGGGCCCAACTCTTTGTAAAAGATTTCCCACATTCACTGCACTCATAAGGTTTCTCTCCTTTGTGAATTCTCTGATGATAACAGAGGGTGTAACTCCTGGTAAAAGATTTCCCACATTCACCACACTCATAAGGTCTTTCTCCGGTGTGAACTCTGTGATGTTTATGAAGGGCAGAGCTTGTGGTAAACGATTTCCCACATTCACTGCACTGGTAGGGCCTTTCTCCAGTATGAACTGTATAATGGCTACGGAGGTTAGAGTTCCAGGTAAAAGATTTCCCACATACATGACACTTATACGGCCTTTCTCCAGTATGAACCCTGTAATGTATAAGGAGGGCAGAGCTCTTGGTGAAAGATTTCCCACATTCACTGCACTCATAGGGACTTTCACCAGTGTGAACTTTGTGATGTTTACAGAGGTCATGGCTACTGGTAAAAGATTTCCCACATTCACTACAATCATAATGTCTTTCCCTAGAGTGAACTATCTGATGTTTACGGAGGGCAAAGCTACTGGTAAAAGATTTCCCACATTCTCTGCATTCATAAGGCCTTTCTCCAGTGTGAACTCTCTGATGTTTACGGAGATTCGAGCTCCAGGTAAAAGATTTCCCACATACACGGCACTCATAAGGCCGTTCTCCAGTGTGAACTCTTTGATGATAAAGAAGGTCACAGTTACTGGTAAAACATTTCCCACATGTACCACACTCATAAAGCCTTTCTCCAGTGTGAACCCTTTGGTGTTTATGGAGGGCAGAGACTCTGGTATAAGATTTCCCACATTCGCCACACTGAAAAGGCCTTTCTCCAGTGTTATCTCTGTGATGTTTCCGAAGGGCAGAGCCACTAGTGAAAGATTTCCTACATTCGCTGCCCTCATATGGCTTTTCCCCAGTGTGAACTTTCTGATGATAACAAAGACCTGAGATTTCTAGAAAACATTTTTCACATTCATGGCATGCATAATATCGTGTTCCAGTTTGGACAGCTTGGTCTGGAAGAGGTGTGTGATTGCAGCCAATGGCTTTCTCACATCCTTCTGTTGTGTGGTAAATATTTCTCCTTTGAAAATCCTCCCCAAATGTTGACATTTCATTTGCTCTTTCCCTGGTGTCAGTAGCTGGTTGTTGGATATTTCCTGAGTTTGTAAAATAGTTCTGCTCAACCTCCTGGAAGGTAAAAGTCTTTTCAGACACATTGAAATTGCGGCCCTTCACAAGTGAGGCCCTGTTCACACCTTGTACAAAAGACTTCTGTCCCAAGTGCTGCTCCTGGTGCTGGTGATGCTTGACAATGAAACAAAATTCTTTTGCACATGCCCCACACCTCAGCAGTTTCTCTCTCTGTTGAGTTCCCTGCTGGTCAGCCAAGAGAAAAATCTCTCTCAAGACACACCCACAACTGTCACAGGGGTGGCTCTTCTTGGAAGACAAAGCTGCCTTGGGATCCTCTGCCTGCAACACTCTTACGGAAACGCTCTGGTCAGTGGGTGCCTCCACATCCGCTGCTCCACAGCAGCAACCTGAACAAAAACAAACACTGGTGAACTTGAAGTTAACTTAATAGAAAGAGAATATTCCCAACACAATGTCCTTTTTGGAAAGCTAGACATGATTCTATGGGCCGATTTTCAAGACAAAGAGTTAGACTCTGTGGAAATGGCTGTTACTATTGGTTGTCCCAAAAGGTCAATAAATGGTGGAGACCTCACCAAAAAAGATACAACCATTGCATGGAAAACAAAGAAGAGAGGCAGAGCCTACTAGCTGTTCCTCCACAAATGGCTTCCTGAAGGATCCTTTCCTTCTGGTGATGACAGTCTGTGCAGAAGAACTTGAATGTGCCCAAACACATAAAAATCAATTGTATCACAGCACATGACCTCGGGTCAGTGTAAGAATATGTGAACCCTAAGTGTTGTGCCCTAAACTACAAGTCTGTGGGTTTGATTCCTGGTCAGGGCACATACCTAGGCTGTGGGGTCAATTCCTGTCACCAATCACAGTGCGTGCAAGAGGCAACCAATTGATGTTTCTCTCTCACATCTCTCTCTATACATAACTTCTTTGTCTTTCTAAAATCAAGAAACACATCCATGGGTAATGATTTAAAAAATAATATGCAAAAACAGAAGAAAATGTGCACTCTGTGAGGCTCTGCGTGTTTTAATCAATTTTGGAGGGTAGTAAGGAAAGATGTGTGAGAGAAATGGTTGAAGTGAAGGGTTTAGAAAAACAGAGATTATTCACAGGCTGTGAATCCTAAGAAAAATTATAATTATTAGAACTGAGTAGTAGGAAAAGTATCAACAATAAGGACAAGAAGATTAAGCTATGGTAGATTAAGTAGATTAAGAATGATAACAACATACTGTTAAATAAATGGGTTCCTAGTTATAACTTTAATAAAGCCCAGACATCAAGCCCTAACCAATTGCCATTTACCACGGCAGCACCCCTTCTAAGCCCACACAGCCATACATAGAGTCATGCCCCCCCTGTGATGCACAAATGACTCTTCCCTTAACTCTCAGTCAAGCCATTCATGGGATTCAGAACAAAATATCCAAAGAGTAAAACTGAAGAGATAGACTGTAAGTTATTATAATAGACCAAGACAGCACAAAACCGACCTAGCAAAAAGATCTTTGTGAGTGACATCAGAAAAATAGCAGAATAGGAGACAGGAGAGTATCTCCACATTCCATAAGCAAGTACACAGCTATCCATGAACAAAAACAGTCCTGGAGGAGCAGAGTAAGAGTTTCATTAAGGCAAAAACAGCAAAGCAGAAAAGCAAAAAATGGAGAACTACTCAGAAATATTGAATAAAAAGACTGGCTGAGCATATGTGCAGATGATGAAGAACAGAACACAAGGTCAAAGTTACCTCTGTCAGCCACCATGCTTGTGGTAGCACTGACCCTAGTAATCTGTTTGGAGAAAAACCCTTAGAAACTTTGTTATTTGGAACCACAGGAGTCCCTGGAATATTGAAAGGAAAGTGTGAGAAAAAGAAAAAATAGGTAGAAAGTTTATAAAAATATATTCTGAAGACCGACTTCCCAAATCAGAGAAGACATGAGAATAATCAAGTTTGCTATTTCTCACAGTCCCTGTGCAATTTCATAAATGTAAGCCTCGCCAAGAACATTGTACTAAAAATGTCAAATATGCAAAGAAAAATTTGAAAGCACAAAATGAATAGAATCATTTCCTACAGAAAAAATGTAGTCATAATGCTATAAAGTAAATATCCTTGAGAAAAAGTTGAAGAATAGAAGACAATCAAATGATATATTGAAAACGCTAAACAAAATAAAATCTTCAAAACAACAGTATTTACTTAGAAAAATTGTTCTTCAGAAATAAGAAAAGCATTCCCAGACAAAAGCTGAGTAACTTCATTGTCACTCAACTTGACTCATAAGAAATACAAAAGAAAGTTCTTCAAGGTGAATGAAAGAATACTTAACAGAAACATGAACACATAACGGATGTATAAAACTCACTCCTAAAGCTGATAATGGAATCAAATTCATAATATTCCAACACTGCATTGGTGGAATGTACATTATTAAACACTATTGTAAGCATAAAAATTAAAACTAGTAAAAACAACAGAGCTAACATTTTGTACATTCATAGATATACAACATTAAAAGATGAGAATTGCGATGCCAACCATATTTAAAGTGAACGTGTGGTAAAGAGTCAAAGGGTAGAAATTTTGAATGCAGTTGAAGTTGCCATCAGAAGAAAATAGTGTTGAGTGAATTAGGTGTTTTATGTAAGTCTTTTGAAAACCACAAGCAAATACCTATGTAACAAATACAAAAAAAAAGAAAGAAAAAGAAATTTAAGCATACCACTGTAGAAAGTGATGAAATCACAAGAGAAAACAATGACATAGAAAAATAAACAAATGAACTACAAAACAGCCACAATCCAACAAGTAAGTTGGCTGTACAACAAATTCTCCAGGGAAAAGCAGAGTAGCTGGAGAGATTAAAAGCAAAAAAAGAAAAAATAAGACACAATATATGCTGCCTATAAGAGACACCAAATATATGCTGCCTATAAGAGACACCCTAAACGTTTATGGACACAAATAGACTGAAATAAAAAACGGAAACATATTCCTTAGACATAAAACCAAGAGAAGGTAGGAGTAGGTAAAATTCTATCTGACAAAGACGACCTCAAATATTGTCACAAATTATAAAGGTCATCAAGCCCTGGCTGGTGTAGCTCAGTGGATTGAGCGCGGGCCTGCAAACCGCACTATCACGGTTCGATTCCCAGTGAGGGCACATGCCTGGGTTGCAGGCCAGTTCCCGCAGGGGACTCATGAGAGGCAACTATACATTGATATTTCTCTCCTTCCCTTCCCCTCTAAAGATAAATAAATATTTTTAAAAATTTAAAAAAAAAAAGGTCATCACAGAAAGGTAAAGGAGTCAATTCATCAAGAGGGCAACAATGTTCAGGATGAAGCATCCAAGAGCATATATTAATTATATTAAGCAAATCATATCAGAACTGAAGGCATATAAAAGAAGCCCAGTATTAGTTCAGTAGTAGTAGTGAATTTCAATATTTTTCTGTCTACAATAACTAGATCACCCATCTAAAAGCACTAAGGAATCACTGAATCTTGACTACACTTTAGAAAAAACAGAACTCATAAACTTATACCAAACATTACACCCAAATGCAGCAGAAGATGCATTTTTTATCAAGGGCACATGAAATAGTCTCTAGGTAGATCTTATGTTAGATCCAAACACAAGTCCCAAACTTTCAGAATAATCACTTCCAATGTCTTAGTTGATCAAAGTAATAGAACACAAGAAATCAATTTTAGTGTTAAGAAAGATGAATACTCACAAATAAGATGAAATCAAACACAACACCCCTGAACAACTGCACTGTCAAAGGAAAAAATGATAGATAACTCAAAACACATCTAGACCCTGGCTGGTGTAGCTCAGTGGATTGAGCACGGGCCTGTGAACCAGAGGATCGCAGTTCGATTCCCAGTCAGGGCACATGCCTGGGTTGCAGGCAGGTTTCCTGCAGGCCAGTTCCCTGCAGGGGATGCACTAGAGGCAACCATACATTGATGTTTCTCTCCCTCTCTCCTTCCCCTCTAAAGATAAATAAATAAAATTAAAAAAAAAAAAAAACACATCTAGAGGCAAAAAGAAATAAAAACACGACAACCAAAGCTTCCATATATGGAGCAGAAAATGCAATGCTAACCACACATTTTGTAGTGATAAATGCTCACCTAAAGACAAAATCTCAAATAAAGGACCTAAACTTGCACCTCAGGAACCTAGAAAATCATGAAGATAAAAAACACTAAATTAGTATAGGAAAAAAACAATAAATATTAGAAGACTCATACATGGAATAAAGGCAAGAAAATCAAGAACAAAAGAATATCATAATCAGGAGCTCTTTTTTAAAACATACACAAAATTGCCAAACCTTCACCTACACTAAACAAAAGAAACAAGAATGAAATGTATTTAAAAAGAGGACTTCCGCCAAGATGGAGGCATAAGTGGAAACACTATGCACTCTCGCACAACCAACTTTAAAACCAACAAAATTTTAGCAACAAAAAAGCAGCCAAACCACAGAAAATTGAAGTATACTGAAGTCTGACAACAACAAACCACTCAGCCAGGCCGGTGAGAGGGGCACAGCCAGCCGCAGAGTGGGGTCGGGCTGAAAAGATCCACCGACCCAGGTGTGCAACCGCGGAGTGCGACCCAGGTGTGCAGGCAGCCGAGGACAATCCCAGGTGTGGAGTAGCAATGGGTGGACCCACTGAGGGTGCAGGGCGGCAGGCTGATCTCGGTCACACATTTGTGCACGCAGATCAACCAGGCAAAAGAGGTAGCAGAGAGACAGACCACACAGGCCCCAGCACCAGGAAGCAGCAGAGGAGACCTCTATTGTCCCTCTCAGACCCCACCCCAACATACAGCGTCATAACCCAGTGACCTGGGTGGCCCCGCCCTGGTGAACACCTAAGACTCCTCTCCTCCTATGTAACAGGCACAAAGATCAAAACGTGGCTCAAGAAGAACTCAGAACCCGAGAGCCCATAAATCTAAGTGAACAAGAAATTGCCAACCTATCAGATGCACAGTTCAAAACACTGGTGATCAGGATGCTCACAGAACTTGTTGATTTTAGCCACAAATTAGAGGAACATATGAAGGCTAACCTAATTGAAATGAAAGGAAATATACAGGAAACCAATAGTGATGGAAAGGAAACTGGGACTCAAATCGAGGGAGTGGACCAGAAGGAAGAAAAAAAATGACCAACCAGAAAAATATGAAGAAACAAGAATTCAAAAAAATGAGGAGAGGCTTAGGAACCTCCAGGACATCTTTAAACACTCCAACATCCAAATTATAGGGGTGCCAGAAGGGGAATAGAAAGAGCAAGTGGAAATCTAATTTGAACAAATAATAAAAGAGAACTTCCCCAATCTGGAAAA